TTTTTTTTTTTTTAATTAATTAGTTAATAGTAAAACAATTTATTTGAAAAATTTTTTGAATATATAGAATACATGTAAATAATATTATACAAGTAATAAAAATACAATTAAAAGAAATAATATTCTATGTTTAATATTGTGACTCCATTCTACCTAATATATATATATATTTTTTTTTTTTAGACTAATGCAGCTTGGCAAGCTTAAGAGCTTAAATCCTATCTACCCATAAATATATAGAACAGAACAGGCGGCACAGACAGAAAGAAAAGGAAGAAGGAGGCATTTATACATATATACAAATTAAATGTATATTTCCACACAAATGTTAGTAAAAATTTTATCCTACGGTATGTGTCAATATAATATATAACATCATATCTGAAGTGCAAGAGTATTCATTGCTCTTTAATCTATATTTTAGTAGTTTCTTCTGCTTGTCGCTGCTGCTGTTTTTGTTTTTGATGAGCGGCTTCACGTCCGCGCTTTACGTCTGCGTCTACCTCTCTATATGACCCTACGTCTGGCTCTTCTTCGCCCTGCTCTGTCGCTCTCATTTTCGCTGCCTGCGTCAGTCTATGCGTGCCAAAATGCCAATGGCGTTTTAATTTGAAGTCACATTTGGCAACGGCGTCGAGCGCCTGCTCCAAGTCCAATTTTAGTAGTTTTTTCTTTCGTTTATTTTTTTATACACCATTTATGAGCTGCCGCATTTTATTTATTTATATTTATAATGTTCAAGCTGAGCCTTGCAGTTTTAGTTTTATACATTTATTTTGCTTTTCCGGCACAGAACAGTTGTAGACGGAGTCGCTGCTCGTAGCCCTTCTGCTGTAGGGTTTGAGCCGAGCATTTTCGACACTTGTTGCCAATATTGTTCGTACCTGCTGCGAATTAAGCAAAACTGGATTAGGTTCTATTTTCTTTTGCTTTGCTTTTCTTTTAGCCAAGTCCTAATCCGGCCTCATGTAATTGCGCACAGACATGGCGCCAGTCAGTGCAAGGTTTGAGCCATGGCCATGGCCATTGTCATTGTCATTGTGTGCTGGGCTAATAGGATCAGCTATGGCTATGTCTGTCTGAGCCTGGCGTGAAATCCGCAAATGTTGTTTACCTTTTGGCGAAAAAGGGGTTCGCACTGTCAGCCCATCCAGCCATCCATCCATCGAAAAGTCGTCAAGTGCATTTTAGACCTCAACGCTCTACGCTCTACTTGAACTGTTTTGTTTTGGCCAACTGCTGATTGTGGCCTTTTGTTTTTAGAGCGACACCCACGACAGCAACGGCAAAGGCAACGGCAACGGCAACGGCTCGAGCTCGAACTTCTTTTTGGGCTGAAATGTTGTTGTTGCTGCTGCTGAGGCTGCTGCCTCTTCCTCTTCTTGTTGTTCTTGGCCGTGAGTCAACAAAAAAAGTTCGCATCGATGGGAAAATTGTGCAAACAATAAACCGCAGAAACAGGCACATCGAAAGCTCTCAAGCCAAATCAAGATATAGCCGACAAAGCACACACGCATACACACACACACACACACACACATCCAGCCATATCTACATCTTTTAAATATATATATCTTTTATTTTCTATATACCCTATAGCCATTATTATATTTCATTCGATAGCAATTATTGCTACCGTTTAATTGTGCGCATTGCGATTTTGTGGAGCTTCGACTTTGATTTTTCACACGGCTTTCGACTGCTTCCCCTTCCACTCCCATACCCACTACCACTCCCACTCGTTATGCCCCACTGCTTGCCCACCAGCCATCCCCTCCCTTCTAGCTTCTAGCCAGCTGCAGGCACGATACCATATTGCCTCATCAGAAGCGCGTCCAGCGACTCTTCGCTGTGAATGCAGCCACGTGGCTAATGATTCGCATTCGCCTTCCTTTTTCACGCAATCGGCCAAAGCGGCTTCCAGCACTCGGGCCACTCGAGGCACTCTTGGCCCGGCTGAAAATCTATATATGAAAATTTGATGATTCACAGCAAAACTTGGTCTTTGATACTGACGGCATTTAAACAATTTCATATAATTTCCACACTTGTGCTCGCATTCTTCGACTCGGCAAAAGTTTTCCGCAATAATTTGCATAGATAACTTTATTTTTTCACTCTTATAAACCTTTCATTGACCCAAAGCGCTTAACCTCACCTCGTGCAATACTCAGGTAATATTCGCACTTGCCCAGCTCTATAATCATTTAGCTAACAGCTGCTTGGGTCTACGCATGCATAAAGGAAAAATCACTAAAGCAATGACATTACATGCATATGCATGATGGTTATTGAATTCATATATGTATGATCTATTAGTATATATGTAACAATATTCCAGACAGACAATTTAATATCACGGTGAAAGATAATACTAAGCTAGAGAAAATTCTTAGCACCAATCAATCAATTTAAACAAGGTAATATTGGATTGGCTTCTGTCCACAGTACACGGCCGTCCTATGCGATTCTCAAGAACAGGCTAATGATAATAAAGTTGTTTGATAATAAATGATATGGAAATCACATCTGATGTCCCATAAAAAATGGGAATTACATCTTCGAGGCTCTGCCACTTATTGATGAATATGAATGAATAAATCTTGTATGTCTTAAGTTAAGAACATATGGTTACAGCAATTGTGATCTGTGCACGGGTTACCTTCTGGCTCTATATAAAAAACTGTTTTCATTAACAAACGTCGAGTCATCTTGACTGATGCAGGGTGGAAGTGTACAAGAAAAAAGTGCAACCGCGTCGTGGTCGCAGTTAATTACCTGTGCGAACTTTTCAACTAGACGTGCACCGCGGCCCGCAGCGTTACAGTGAACACTCGTTGTAAGTTGACTTTTAACCGGTTACTAACTGACATTTTCACCTTGTTAATTATGCGCACGGTCATGCAAAATCGCGCGCCATTTCAAGTGGCCAAATGAAGTATCCACTCAAAGTTGCATTGTCAGCGATGTCGAGCACGATGGACGATGGACGCTGAACGAGACATGGTCATGATGATCTCTTAATTGCATAGCTCAAGTGAAAACAACTGCCAACTGACAACTGGCAACTGGAGCTGCAGCCTCCCAAAAACAGCAATGGCAACAGCAGCTGCTTAGCTAATGTGTCGTCTATAGAACAGCTTTATCCAATCTAGAAATTTATGATGCCTTTGGTGAGATCTATGAAGAGGCAAGCAGATTTATTTGCAAATTACCATACATATTAGATGTACCATATATAGATCAGATGAAAGCTCAATTGCCCACTTACATCAGAAATATGAAATACAATTTTCAGACCCAATAAATCTATTCCATATCGGATATTCTCTCTACTGAACCAATGACCATTATGATGTACACTCTAATTCGAATTATATTATATATAAAAATATATAAATCTATATGCATGCATGACAAGATCTTAATAACCGCTGCTTGGGCATAATGATGGAACAGCTGAATTTGGTCAGGCGTTACCAATAGATAAACCACTTGAATGAACGCCATTGCAAAAAAAAAAAAAATGAAGTAAAAATAAAAACCATTGCTGACCTGTCTGACCCGAGCACAGGTGACAGGTGCAGGCCACCAGAAGTGTGGATACAGGTGTTGCAGGTGCCGTAGGTGTATTTGTAGGCGTTAACACACCAAAAAGGACTTGAGCCAAATTGACGTACCAAACTGTTCAGCAGACAGCTGGCGCCATCTATTGCATTTTAGGTGAAACAGCAAACAGATTTAGCCGCCAGAGGCAACTAAGCAGAATTGAAATTTGTGTTAAAAATATCAAATAATATATGATATATACTATGCAGTTACTGGTCTTTAAAGATTACACTTTGAATTTGAAATGCTCATAAAATCCAATAGTAAAAGATTCCATTTTGCTCCTAGCAATAGTGCATCCTCGATGGCTTAAAGCGTCCATACTCGCCATTTGTGGTGGGCGGTACTTTGGCATTGTTGTTAACATTGTGACTCTGTTCATCTTGCTTTTCCAGTTCTTTCAATGAATCCAGATGGTTGTAGGCGTGCAGCTTGTTCAGTCGTCTTTCACGTGCATACTGTAGGAATATATCCTGCCCGTATCTATGCTGGCTTTCACAATAGATCTGAGCGATGCGACTGAACTCGATATTCTGCCTGCCTGGATACCAGCTGAACAGCTTTTGCCAACGTTCCGATGTCTTGGTATCCTTGCTGGCAACCAGACGATGATATTTCAAATTATCTGTCGTAATCACATCGATCGGCATTATGGAATTGCTTTCTTATTTTCTATAAATCTACTTTACTTATTAATTTTTTTTTTATAGATTTTAATGTTTTTTTTTTTTTTATTAAATTTTTTGGAAATCAAAATACTTCATCATACTGTGAATTTTATGTAGCTTCTAACCAGATTTACATTGTATGTTTTGGAATTTACTTGATTAACTGAACCGAATAGAAGCTTGATTTGAAGTACATTATGTGTTTGTAAAGTAGACGATGATATCACTCCGTGGAATATTCTCGTTATAAAATGTTAGATTCAACAAATATCGTCCAAAGGGAAAAAAATTCTTTACTACACTGTTCACATATTGTATTGGCAACTTGTCCAGTATTATGTCGTGCTATCAAATGAAGTCAAGATTAAGTGTTGAATATAATATACAAAATAAGTGGTTATACGTACAGTAAAGGGACATGTGTGATTCAGATTTGAATATGGTGCAAATGTACTGAATATAAGACTGGCCAATGGATTTTTCTGATCTTTCAAAAATTTACAGGCATTTATACTGCCATTGAAATGCTCGAATATGTTCCGGGTGTCGCGTTTTGCAATCTTAAATACCACCTGTATATTTATTTATATAATGAATTTATGATTAGCGAAATCAATAGAATAATTGATTTTCTTTACCTTGGCAGTATAAATAGGCAATTTATGGAGAACAGCTTTTAACGAAAAGTATTTGTAGGAGCGATTTACTGCCTTTAAGTAACAATATTCGTATTCCATAAACTGTTTATCATAAGTGAAACAGATAACATTATTAAACTCGAGATCGGCAGTTATCTAAAAATAGAAAGAAAATAATATTTGTATGATCATGGTGGAGTTTATAAATAGATATTTCAACTTACAGATATTATGCCAATAAAGGCAAAAAATAGAATTATACGCAAAAATAACATTCGTCCGCTGTTTGAAACCAATTGATCAATAACAATTATAGCTTCACACTGCTAATAATATACTTTACTAATAATATACTTTACATGGCTCAACGCAGTTGCTAATTGTAAAAATCATTATTTCCGAAGATATTAATCTATATAAAAAAAAAAAAAAAAATCACATATACTCTATAGATCAAAGAATTTGTATATTTTAAATAATTTGTCATAAACAATTCTAAAATATATCAAATTTCAAAATATTCAATGAAGAAACTTTGTTCACTGTTCATCCGTTATTCTTACCACATAGCGCAATTTGGCTACTTTCCCATCATCTCTGGCGCTTAAATATGTAATTGTGTCCGAATTTAAAGCTGCAGCGAACTATGAAATGGCTTTATTTGCCTTTACCAGCACTACAGTTAAAATTCCGAAATATTAATTTCTAATCAATTAATATTTTGTAGACTGAGGTCGTTTTTTATGGCTTTATGAAACAACTAAACACACTTTAAAAAAATATTGCAGCTTAACTATTGTTAGCCTTTCTAGCTTATCAATTTGGCTTTTCAAGACCTGAAAGCACACCTGTTTTATCTTATTCTTGAGCTTCAACTGAAAGCTGGTTGGCCAAAACGATAAGGTAATAAACGATTTAGTAATCTCCGATTTAATATTTTAATTTTTGAAAATTAAATTAAATCATAGAGTGTATTTCATATTCTCGTTAATAACTCATATAATTTGCAATTATATTAAAATTTTGTAAAGTAGACAAGGACGTCAGTGCGCGCAATATTGTCACTATAAAACGTTAGATTCAACAAATATCGTCCTTCGGGAATAAAATTCTTTACAACACTGTTCACATATTGTATTGGCAACTTGTCCAGTATTATGTCGTGCTATTAAATAAAAGCATCATGAGCGGTTTTGATTTGAAGAGATATTTATACATAATAATTGTTATACGTACGTTATAAGGACATGTGTGATTCACATTTGAATATGGTTTAAATGTTTTGTATAGAAAAGAGACTAAAGGATTAAAACCATCTCTCAAAAATTTGCAGGCATTTATAGAGCCATTATAATGCTCAAATATGTTGCGGGTGTCACGCTTTACCATCTTGAACGCCATCTGTTTATACGTAAATAGAATTTTTTATTGTTAACATTCCACAAATAAAAAAATTAGTTCTTACCCTAGCATTTCGAATGGGCAATTTATGGATAATAGTTTTTAATGACATGTATTTGTAGGTGCGATTCATGGCTTTCAAATAACAATATTCGTATTCCATAAATTCTTTACCATAAGTCACACAGTCGACATTATTGAACTCAAAATTAGCAGTTATCTAAAAATGCAAATAGAGTATTATTTTCACGCAGTTATTAAAGTTAAGAGCAACTTACACCTATTATACCAATCAAGGCAAAAAGTAGAACTAAGCGCCAAAATGACATTTGTCTGTCGTATGGAAACACTTTAATGATAATAACTACCAGCCTGTCTGAACAATATATTTTATATGCTTCATCGCAGTTGATAATTAGAAATTGTAGCATTTATTAAGCTATTAACTCACAGTAATTAAAATTAAATACAAAAAGTTATACATACGCGTATTAATATATTTTAGATGTGGGTTTATTGTCAATCCATTACCACTCAAAGGTATTGTGAAGTATATATGGGTCGGGAGCTGACACATTGATTTGAATTCTTTGCCGCCACCGCTATTCATCAGCTGAGCTAACCGAACGCACTGCACAAGCAATCGCTTGAGCGTGACTATCGATAACATGCTACCACTAGCCCACATTAACAATCGACCATAGCGTGACTCTGGTTAGTGATAGCGCTTTTCACGACTGTTACTAACTTAAATTCGAAATTTAAAACTCTACAACGTCATAGTAATCTTAGCTAATATTTTGCGACACATATATACTTTATTTCAATTTGAATTTAATATTTCAAAATGTGGGTTCATATATTATTACTGTTCAAGACTTCACGACCGATTTTACTGAGTTTTACAGCTGCATTGCACATATTTTATTATGATTTTGAGAAATAAACAATGATCACACCTCGTGGTATATTGTTATTATAAAATGTTAGATTCAGCAAAAATCGTCCATCGGGAATAAAATTCTGTAATACACTGTTCACATGGTGTACTGATACCTTTTCCAGTATTAAATCGTGCTATTAAATAAAAGCAAGTATAAGTCTTAAAAATTTTTTTAAATAAATAGTTTTACTTACGTTATAAGGACATGTGTGATTAATATTTGTATATGGTTTAAATGTTTGGTATATATGTATGTTTGGCTAGTGGATTACGACCATCTCTCATAAATTTGCAGCCATCTATAGATCCGTTATATGGTCCAACTATGTGGCGGTTGTCGCGTTTTGCAATGTTAAACAATATCTGTATATACATATATATGTATATTTATTGATTGTTGAATTTTGCTTTAATACATTTTTTGACTATATAAAAAATTTTTACCTTAGAATTTCGCACTGGCAATTGATGAATTATGATTTTCATCGATAAGTATTTATACGTGCGATTTTCGGACCTCAAATAACAATAATCGAATTCCAAATACTCCTTGTCACAAGTTATACATTTGATATTATTAAACTCAATATCTGCAGCAATCTAAAAGTACAAAAAACACATTACCTTTATGCAATTCATAAACTTTGTGAATATATATATAGATATTACAACTTACACCCTTTATGCCTATAAAGGCGACAAATATAATCAAGCGTGAAAATAACATACGTCTGCCGTTTGAAAACACTTTTACGATTATAACTACGAACGCTCATAAACTATTATGAATAACAGTATTTTTAAATCTATAAATGTTTTAAATAAAGAATTACCGCCAAATTTTGCCCATTAAAGTTATTAGGAAAAATGGTTCTGGCATGAATACTTATTAAACAATTTTGAATAATTTGCACAGAACCGTTACACATCATTTGAGTTAAACAAATTCTTTGACATTGATTGGACGGTACTGGACAAAATTCAGTAAATATTGGATATAAATGTGAATGAACATTTTTGTGGAAAGATGACTTATTTCAACGGATTGCTTGGGATTCAATATGAATGCAAAGTGGTTCCATTTGCACTCCAGCTTATTCAGTTGAATGTATTTAATAAAATTCTACTAGTTGGATTTTGGGCTTCTCTCAAAAGCTTGCAGGGATTTATAGAACCATTAAAAGCTCAAATACATGACACCTAAGTTTATAGTGATCTATGTTTAGTAAAATTAGCATGTGAAATTTCGAACAGGCAACTGACAGAATGCAGCCTTTCCTGAGAGTGAAATATTTTATTTTTTAAATATTAAATAAATTCTATGTATTCATGAAATATAGATAAGAATTTACTTGAATCAAGCCGCGAATAATAGTTTGAACTTATCTAGGATTTTGTAAAGTATACAATAACATCAGCAAGGGCAATATTTTCAGTATACCAGGACATATTCAGGAAATATCGACCATCCGGAATATATGATGCTATAACTCTATTCACATATTGCACTGGCAACTTCTCCACCATTAAATCGTGCTATAAAAACGCAGAATTAGTTAAATCGATAGGAAGGAAGAAGAAATATGTATACGTACATTGAAGGGACATGTGTGATTCATATTTGAATATGCTGTAAATACACTAAATATAATCCGAGCTGCTGGATTTCGACCATCTTTAAAGAACTTGCAGACATTTATGGTACCATTGTATTTGTCAAATATGGTTTGGGTGTCCCGCTTTACAACCTTGAATTTCACCTGAATATACGTTATATTTAATTTACATAAATTATCAGTGATGAAATTCGCTTTTACCTTAAGGCTTCGAATTGGTAACTGATGAATAACAGCTTTTAGCGAACAGTATTTGTAGGTACGATTTAAGGACTTCAAATAACAATATTCGTATTCCACGTATTTCTTGTCATGGGTCAAACATTGCAAATTATTAAACTCAAAATGGCCAGTTATCTAAAAAATAATAATAATAATAATAAAAGATTATTTTTTATTACACCCATTTCAGCTTACACCCATTATATGAATAAAGGCAATCAGTAAAATAGAGCGCAAGAATAACATTAGTTGGCCGTTTGTTAAATACTATTCAACGAATGACATATTTTATATACTACTACTGAAGATATAAAGATACTCATCTATAATAATTAAAATAATAGCATATTTTTAAGTACCTTTAAAGTACATTAAATATTTAAAAATTGTAATAATTATATTAATTGTGAAATATACGAACTCAATATTCTCTATCTATCTAATCGTTAATTACATACATTTCCGGATTAGTTTTTAATTATTTTCCTCCAGAACTGTTGAGGTAACTGAAAGTATTGCTCTAGATATCGTTTTAATATTACTATCATATTCCGTATTAGGGGACTAATATAATTATCCTTAAATATTGTAGTTTATTTGCTTTCACCGTTTGCTTTTTAAAAAACTACTAACCGGATTTACTAGAAGAGCTGAAGGGATTTATTTGAAATATAATATGTAAGTCTTTTATAAACAGTAAATAGTAATCCAAATATTCTTTGTCGAAAATCCCAATATAGAGAAGCTATAAATTTAAGCGCATGAATGAATTTGTCTGTCGATTGGAAACATTTGTGAATTAATAACTATAGCTTTAGACTGTTCAATATAAAAATTATATATGGTTAATCGAACATGATAATAATAGACGGATGTATTTCGATTAAGAAAAAATAAAGCAATAATAACTCTAATCTCAGAATATGGCCACACATCACAAATTTGTCATCATTTTGTAAATGATTTATTTAACTATGAACAAAAGCAACAATTGGAAGTGCTTTATATTTGGAACTGTTTTTCCACCACCGTTGCGCAACAGTTTACTTGACCGAACGAACAGAGCAAGATGTGACTATCGTTTGTGTGCCACCACTAGCACAGCTGATATTTTGGCGGCAAATGCTATTCAAAACAAGCGCAAGCAAAGCCCAGTGATTAATTGTACTACAAATTATGCATGATTCGGTGCAGGAGATAGCTAAAACGCGACGTTTTCTCAAGGAGCGATTGCAACGCGACTACACCACTGTCCGTGGCTATGAATCGGAGCGTAACAATGTACGGCAGTTGCTGCAGCGCACAGCTGAAATGGGTGAATCGAATTCTTTACTGTTGATAGGACCGCGCGGTGCCGGCAAAACTACAGTAAGTACTGCCTACTAATGTCGGCCACTGCTCAAGATTCTGCCTTACTCTGCAGCTCATCAATGCCGTTCTCACGGACTTGCTGGAGAACAAATCGTTTGTGGATAACACGCTCATTGTGCACCTGGATGGCAACTTGCATACAGATGATCGCATTGCACTCAAATCAATCACCGTACAAATGCGCTTGGAAAATGCCGCAGATGGCAAAGTCTTTGGCTCGTTTGCCGAGAACTTGGCCTTTCTGCTGCAGTGCCTCAAGGCTGGTGACAAGAAGTCAAAGAGCGTTGTCTTCGTCTTGGAGGAATTTGATCTCTTTTGCACACATCACAATCAGACATTGTTATACAATTTGTTTGATGTCTCGCAGTCAGCTCAGGCGCCAATTTGTGTGCTGGGCGTCACCTGTCGGCTAGATGTCATTGAGTTGCTTGAGAAGCGCGTGAAATCGCGATTCTCACACAGGTATGCCCTCGAATTTTCTATCCCTATATATACATATATCTCTAATCGCATTCATTAACTTATCCCCGTCACAGGCAGGTTTTCCTCTTTCCCAGTGCCAACAAATTCGAGGATTACGTCTCCCTCTTTCAGCATCTAGTAAGCTTACCCAGCAATAAGGAGCTACAAGCAGCTGTCGATCGCATTGACAGCCTGCAGATGTTCAAATCAGACGCTTTTACCTTTCAGCGTAATCATTTCGACGGTATTGAATATTCATTTGATAAGAAACACGTTGAGAACTGGAACAAACAAATCGGAAAACTTGTCAAAGCGCCCGCAGCACAAAAGACCCTGCAAATGCTCTACGATTTTGATGTAAGCGAAGCATTTCTCAAGACCTTCATATTCCGTCTGGTGGCACAATTGAAAGCTGACGCCCCACATATAACAGTGGAGCAGCTTGCAACACTTGGCGCTCAATACGAATGCGATGACAAAGTAGAGCTGCTTTGCGGTCTGTCTGTGCTCGAGCTGTGCTTGCTAATAGCCATAAAGCATCATTCGAGCATTTATGATCGCGATCCTTTCAATTTTGAGATCATTTTTGGGCGCTTCTCCAAGTTCGCCAAGGTCTCTACGACGATGCAGGGCGTGGAGCGTGCCATAGTATTAAAGGCCTTTGAGCATTTGCGCATTGTGGAGCTAATCATGCCCTTATCTAGTAGTGGCATGGGCAAAGTGCAAAAGGAATTTGAGATGCACAAAATGGCGTTGACCTATGGACAGATACAGCAGGCGGTGCAACGCTATCAGGCGCTGCCCACAGAAGTTGCACAATGGGCACAGAGCTCATTAATCTAAGCATAAGAAATACAATTCCTTAATTTTACACTTTATTTATTAATATATTTAAATATACCCTACTACACACAATTGTTAACTGAATGTTTATTAATGCGTAAGATCATATGTAGATATATGTATATATATATAACATGTCAACTCCACCTCCTTCTTTGTATTCCATAAAGGCATTGCTAATTATGTAATTAGGTCAACTTGGTAGCTGATCGATAATGTAAATTCTTAGAGCAGCTGTTGCCCGCATATGGCCGATTATATAAATATACTCTTTAAGCCTTAAAGCGGAACAGTCGTGGGCCAACAACGATGAATAGACTTACAATTCTGTTTGCTGTGCTGCTGCTGGCTGAGCTCTGGATCGAAGGATATGCGGATGAGAGTCCTGGCTTCTTCCTAAAGATCACTAAGAACGTGCCGCGACTGGGAAAACGAGGCGAATCATTTCTCATGAAGAACATGAAGACCATACCACGCATAGGACGCAGCGATCCAGAGGTAAGTGAAATGTCATAAAAAATTAATCAAATAAAGAGTTATTATGATTTCTCTAGGCCTCCATTACTCCTTTGCTAGCCTGGCTATGGAATTTGGATGCGGATCCACAGTTCAGCAAACGCCGACTGCCGAGCTCTGGAGCCGCTAGCAGTGTGGAGCATGAGCTGAGCGTCGTTCAGCCCGTCAATTCGAATACCCTGTTCGAGCTATTGGATCGTAATGCTATACCCAGCGAACATGTCAAATTCGTGCACTGGAAGGACTTTGATCGTGCCCTGCAAGCAGATGCGGAATTGTATACGAAGATCATACATCTAGGTCGTGATCCGGATCAACGTCTCAAGCAAGATCTAAGCTTCAACAGCTATATACCCATCTTTGGCTCAGATGATGCAAAGAGCAACGATTTCATGCTGTACAACAAGGACGATAGGGACTTGTATAGCGGCTATGATCGCAATTTCATGCAATACAATCGTTTGTAGATGGGCCGTAAGTATGCATGAAAAAGTGAAAGTACTAATATACCTATTTATACCCTGTATTTTGACTAATGTCAGTTTTCATAAATTTGTATACGCAATGGTTAAAATAAAACCAGAATTGAAAAACGAAACGATCATTGAACCCAAACACTGTCTCTCTCTCTTTCGCTCTGTCTCTTGTCAACAAGTATGCAAAAAGAGACAGTCGGTGTGACAGTTTGAAACGCATTATCGATTAACGGTTTTGCGGTAGCTTTCCACGAAATCCCTTTTTGGTGATGACTGTACTCAAAACAAGCCTTCTCCATTAGGCCTGTGACAACGTAATTTGTTTGACTTAAATATAGTAGACTATTTATAAAATATATATAAAACACACATAATTTACATTGATTGCTTTAAATACCTTAATTTTAGCGTTCAATGTAGAATTCTTAATTAGGAAATTCCATCCTTCAACAATTAGCGAAAATGCGTGTTTTAAAAATGCTTTAGAAACCGGTTTCTGTTATCGGCTTTTGGCGACACAAATTCCAAGTGATATGTTTTTATAATTCACTTTGAGGGGGGGATTATTTATTTTTCAATCAAATAAATTTCATGAAAATTAACGCTTGAACAAATCGTCGCCGCCGTCAAAATACAAATACTCACATAAATACATAAATATATATTTATTTATATGACCGTCTATGTTTTCATTTGGTTTAATTAACAGTTGATTGTTAAATAATTCGCATTTTTTTTTTTTTTTTCTTTATTATTTTCGACAACAAAAAACAAAAGCGACTCAAAATGCAATTCGCTTCACTTAAAGAGAAAAATTGCATATTCATAAATTAAGCTTTGAAGCTCAACAGCTTTTAGAACTGTAAACTTGACTTTGAAAATTTGCAATATTTTGCTGTTGTTTTTGCCTTTTTCTCAATTTCTATTTTAGCTGCAAGCGCGCGTAGAACAAGTTTGCCATTTGTGTGTAAGTATGTGTGAGTGTATGTATTTCTGCCGCATTAAATGAGAGAGCGCTATATTGCTCTCGTATAATTAGACTCGTATACTCTCTCACTTAAACTACTCTCTCAGCAACTTCGTTAGAGCTGCGCTCGTGCCGCTATGCAGAGCTCGATCAAACACAATTGCTGAGAGCAGCTTGTGGGCAATAAACAACGAGCTCTTCGTGTACGTGACACGCTCACATCAACCGCTGAGTCGCGCTCCAAGCATAAATACGAATGCACCACTGTCAGTTGATTCATTTGAAGACGAGTCGTTGTTACGAACGCATCGTTCACGCGTTTCATTTAATTGTGTTTGTCAGTGCTAGTGAGGAATTTCAACTGTGGGTGTGAAATGTCAGACGAGCTTTTTGCCTTATGAACTGGAAGAGAAACACGATTTGAATGCAAACAAACAAACAAACCGACACAAAACGAAATTAGTAAAGCTTGTTGTACAATTTAGTTTAATTAAGTGCGAAAACAAAGATATTGGGAGCAAAGAAAGTTTTCTTTTAAAACCTCGTCAAAATAGAAAGTCTGGCAACGCGGATTACACAAACAACGCGAGCAGCAGAGCTAACGGTGTGCAATTGACACAGCTGACCGCTTGGGATCAAAGGCAAGCAGGCAACCTTTGCCATAGCGAATAAACAACAACAACTACAATGATGATGGCGATGAGTGGTACCAGACTGATTTTGGTCAGCTGCCTGCTTAGCGCAATAGCCGTCGAAATGGGCGCTGCCTCGGCCATTCCCATTTGGGAGTTTTTGTCGCGTAACGAAAAGGTAAATTTAACATATGATATGCCATATACATTAGAGTTATAAACAGATTCCAAATTGAACTTAAGCCGCTACTCATTTGCATACAATCATACGCACACATGAACATATACCGATCTGTATTTATTGTAATCATAAGCATTACGCATACGCCACGTTCGCTCCAGTTATAATGACAATGCTAAGGTGTTCGGGCGTCCTTGGCATTGGACTGATCTGCCAAAAAAAAAAAAAAAAAAAAAAAAAAAAAAAAAACTAGCACAATTTTTGCGCACATTATCCATATTTTTATGAGATCTCAATTTTTCGATGATTTTTGTCAATGAGCATCATAAATAGCGTTGCCTTAATTATTATGCATATTTCTGCACATAATTAGCTGTAGTGTGTGTAAGTTTTTAACGGCTCTTTTTGTTATGTCTTTCGTTTCCACACCGATATTTGACTGCTTTTATTTCATTTTTTACCTTTATTGAATTTTGAATCAGTTTTGAATGCTGAATATGCATATGGATAACAGACATAAAGACTACGCTATTTGCGTCTCATTTGCATAACTGTACCGCAAGACTATAACAACAACAACAACAAATAGCTGAATCACAATTTCAACAATAAATACTGAAGATAATAATAGAAATATAAAAATATGATCCAACAACAACAGAAGCCTCTACTGCTGCCACTTTACTATATGTATATACATATATGAATTTATGTATGTATATCAGAATATCGGCATTAGCCATCCTTGACATAAATAATGAGACTCCATTGCCTGATCTTGACATTGTCAACCTTATCAATTGTAGCGCATCTGTAAAAGCGTTTGCTTTACTTTTGACTTAAAATTCTCTCAAAAATATTTTTAAACAAATATTGAGCTCTGGCTCGGGCTAGTCTGCCTTGTTGCCTCGTATATTGATTGGTTTGCTGTTTGCTCAAGTGTTTGCAAATATATACAGACACTGATACATATATATATGTGGACATACATACCAACATATAGACTTAATATAATGCCGGTTTCATCAGAAAAAGCTCTAGACTTTTATGGAAGTGACCAAACGGAAATTTAGAAAGGCAGGTTTTTTCGCTTTGTTTTTATTTTTGTTGGCTTAAAACATAAAGCGAGCTAGTGAGATTCACTTAACGTTTGTATATCACTGGCACATACATAAATATATTTGCTTGCCTGACTAGAAATGTTATTTAGCTGACTTAGAAACAAGAAGAAGCATAATTGCTGAGATAAGTCAAGTTTTTGATAAGACATAGTCTTTGGGAAATAGGTAGAAGCTAGCTATTTAGAAGAGCTTACGATCTAATGCGAGTCTTTAAATATTCAACTCCTATATACTTAGCTTGAAAATTCGAAAAATACTGTTTTTTTTTTTTTTCAATTTCATTAACATTATAATAAAGCAAATTAAAGATTCATATTTTTTCTTAACTATAATCGATTATTACAATAGTGTCACTAATATTATAGTTGTTTTTGTATTATTATTAAATAATCAAATATAATTTATACAATTAAAAGCAGAAGAGCAGAATGAGTATTTAAAGGGTCCTAATTTAGTCATTAGTTTATTAACTAAGAACTTGAAATGGGAGCTTCTATTTAGCACTAACCACGTACTCCTATGTAGTTAGCTATCTTTTAACAATTTAAGTGAACTGTTCAACAATAAAGCATGAACATTTGGCATAAATGACAGCAGGCATTTAATGAAAAGTAATTACCAAAATGAACAATAAAACCAAATGAGCTGCATTCAAGCCGCGCCGAGTCAAGCCAAGCGCGACGATGAAAACAAGACAAACATTAAATTTCGTTTATGATAAAAAAAAAGAAAAAAAACCAAAACTATTTTCATTTACATGTACATTTCGAGTGAGGGGCGGGGTATATGAAACATAAAACAAATAATCAAAAAAAAAAAAAAAAAGTAACAAAATAATTAAAAAAAAAAAATAAATAAATAAAAAGCTTTTCACTTTTTTTGCGCAACAAAGCGTGACAACGAAGGCGTCTGTCTCCCCTCGCTGAGTGAGTGGCTGGCTGTGGGGTTGGGGGAAGCTCGGACTTAGGTGGCATCCAATGGAAGTGTTGGCAGTTCGGTGCTCGTTACACGCTCGTAAACAGTTAATGAACTCCGAAATGTTGGATAAAATAAAAATAACAAAATTTATTAGTACACCCTAGTATGTATGCATATTATTCATATAGAGCTCTATCCAAGAGCCAGGCCTTTTCCCATTTCGCTTAGTCATGTCGTAAATCCTATTAAAAGTTTGTGAATTTGGCAGCGCATCGCACACGAACTGCGCCTTAAAAACTCACCTGAGCTTTATATTGTTATTGTTATTTCGTATTCTAAGCCACTTTATATAATAGTTGGAATAGAACAATGGAGCCAGCGCTTGCTTTTGTAAGGCGATACGAGACGATAGCAGCAGGTATTATATGTACATATGTCCGTACATCCGGCACCCGCATGTCCACTGACAAATGAGAAAATAATTTCCAAAAGCTAATTAATTGCAAAAAAAAAAAAAAAAAAAAAAAAAATAGCAAAAAATAATCAAAATTCTAAAACGCAATTTGCGCAAGTCAAAAAAACAAAACAGAATAACAAAATATTCACATTAGAAATTGCTAATTGGAGTTTCAACTTTTACACGCATATATGTATAAAGGTATATATGTATGTATATATGTATATGTCTATATATACTCATTACTACATTTATCCATCCAAATGCTTTTGTCGCCAAGTGAATTCAGCTAGCTGAAGTGCCTCTCTTTGCGATTCTGTTCTACTTATATATTCAGCTTATTTGTTTACTTTGCTACATCCGTTAACATTTTCTTAGCCATATAAAGGGTATCTTGAAGCTTAGTTTCACCTGCTTACATAGTCTAAATCTTAATTAAATGTTGTTTACCGTTGCGCGCATGCTTCATCGCATCTCTAGCGCTTTCGATTTTCGATTGCAAAAAAAAAAAAATCATAAACAAAAACAAAACAAAAACACCGCCGGTAATTAAACAATGTTGTTTTTGTTGTTGTTTAACGTTTATTTATATATTTTCTTCGCGTTTCTTTTTTTGTGCCCTTAATGTTAAGGTGGCAACGCGTTTAGCCGGTTTGACCCGAACTTAAATAAATAAATAAATTATGTTCACATTACTTTTTTACGTAAAGTGTATATAAATATGTACATATGCATACATACTTATGTGTGCGAGCTTTATGTATGCAAAAAATGTAGCATCGTCATGATTATTGTATATTGTATATACACACATACATAAATACATACATACATATTATTATGAACGGTATCAACTTATCCATTGGTAATGGCAATCATGTTGTGCGGGTCTTTTATCTTTTCCATATTTTTCTTTTCGGGCTCGAACGTTTCTCTTTTGGGTTTTGTAAACCCTTTTTACTTGTTTTGCTATCTTTTTTGTGTTGTTTGTCTCAGTTTTTTTGGTTGCTCGTTTCATAATAGCATAAACTGCGCAGATCAGCAGGTTATTGAACCAGACATCAGGCATTTAACTAAATCTTCATAAAAATTAAGAAAAACAAAAAAACCTAAAATGAAATAAATTAGTAAATATTTCATTAGGAATTCCCTATAGGCTCAAGCCTGAGCAATATTTGTGGTTTTCTATATTTGAAAAGTTGTTTAATTCAAGTTTATTTATATATTTATTTGTTTACAACAGGTGCGAAGCTCCTTGTCTTTATGCTAAGTTAACATAACTCTCTACTATTTTTAGAATATGATTTTTTTACTGATAATTATTCATAAGGGGGCTTTAAGGTCAAGTGCGCTTCTAACTGAATCGAAAACTTGTTCAATTAATTTTTGATGCCCGCTCACACTGAAGAAAGGGTAAATTGGTTTTACATATACTAAGATCATCATCAAATTACGGATCTATAGACTATAGCGTAGCAAGGCGCATCTTCTCTACAGCTTCATGGTAGCTGTTTCACAGTAGTTTTCGAGCTTGAATCACAGATATTTGTATATGCTGATCTCTGGGTCGTATTTGTTCCTTTAATGCATTTGTTTCTTAACGAGTATATAACTGTCAGTAACACCCGTTCTGCAACATTCTATTGCGTTTCCATGGCATATTTCAGAGCTGAGCTTTCCCACACATGCATCCTCCTCGAAATATGCATAAATACTATGCATTTTCATAACAAATTTCAATTAGATATATTGGCTTGTTTGTTAGTCAATTAATTGCAATCGCTGTCAAGCTGTAAATTACTGAGCTGCGTTGTTCATAAATAAACAAAATCGGACAGCCTTATCTCTGCTTTATAAGCCGACTTTTAATAAAGTTAAGATCWGGCATATATAATATAATATATTTATTATATGTGACTTTGACTACACCCGCCTTCAGTTTAGCTTTTTTTTATATTTTTGAAATTCTGACTAATTATTTGTGTCAGGGACTGGACGATTAAAAAAGAGGCACATAAATCAGATAATTTTTAATGTGGAATTTTTTGTATATATGTGTATGTAAATGTATATGTATATATGAACCGAGCCTACAGGCTTATATATATGTACATATATTGTATATTTGGTTTGGGTAAATTAAGTAATTTGTGTGGCAAACGATTGGCCAGGCAAACAAACAGCATTTGGCATAGAAATATATATAGAAATGTATACAAATATATATTTATACACATTTATACATACATACACATACACCTATATAAATCTCGGCTCGAATTGCATTTCACAGTTTGCACACGTTTTGTGGTCAATAAACATATGCGCTACAGGTTGTTGCCTTTGTTGTTGCTATTATTTGTGGGCTTAACGGTAATTTGTTATTTGAGACAGCGTTTTGTGCATATCGAGCATATCATTATGCAAACAGCGTTAAATTGTACAACTCGAAATACATAGCCAAGAGAGCCCAGCCAGCCAAGCTAAGCCATGTCAAGCCAAGCCAAGACTTAAGAAGTAAAGTCGCAGCACAATTGAAAGCCAATGCAAATGCATAATTCGTTTTGATGTGTAACCAGATCAAGGTGCAATATATAAGAATTATATACGGACATATAAATGTATATAAATATATAAAAAATATACATACAAACAGACCTACATTACGTATAAACAAAGCATATTCTATCACAAGTTTGGTTTCAGTTTCAGCTGGCGAAAAGAATTCTAATTGCTGGAAGAAACCCTCATGAATTCAATGATTAATGAGAGAAAAATAATAAAATTAAATTAAAATAAAATTAAATAATAAATCTCTGAATTGACAAAAAGAATACTTGAAATATATTTGAGAAAAAATACTATATAATGCTATGGAAGAAATGTAATGAGAAATTAACAACCATATGTGGATTAAATGCTAGCATAATGAATATAAATTGAATTCTATGAATGATTTCATATTTAAATTCCTATAGACAAAATTTCTAGAATCCCATTCCTAAAAATTACTTATTCAAATAAATCTCTGCTGCTAAACCACAAACAAAATCATAAAATAAACATAAACAATATTTTAATTATTTCTAGTTAACTCTTATAGCTCATGTATTTTCACTGTAACGACTATTATTTAAAATTCTTTTATATTTGTATAAGCTATAAATATTCATGTACATACACACATACATGTATACATATAGGTTAATAAATTTGAGCACACACCTTTTGGGACTTTCTTTGTTTGTGCTTAAATTCGCAATAAACTAAGCGTAGCTGCTAATAAATTAGAAATGCCGGATTTGGGAGTTTCTACATTTAATTATCGCTGAGCGTTCCATTTGATTAGCATGGCTGTCGCGTACGCCGTACCCCGCTTTACGTCATTTTCATCTCGGCGCAGTATGTGTCATCCGGCGTAGAACATTCGGCTCAGACAACGCTTCGCTGAGCGCGCAGAATAGCCAAAGCCTCAAGTACACAAACAAASAAACAAATACAGATGCATGCATACATATATAGCTAGACTGCTTTGGCTGCTGAACCGTAAAGAGAAACACAACAACAACAAAGAAGTGGAGCAGCGCAACCCTTGCTCCCGCAGCCTCTCCCGCTCACTCCTCCACAGCATTGCATAACGCGCGACACACATTTTGAAATGCATTTCATTTGTGCGCATCACTCACACGCACTGTTGCCTAAGGCACTCGTTGCTTAATGCTGTCTCTAATCTAACCCGCTCTCTTTCTGTCTCCCTCTCTCACTCTCGCTGTCGCCTCCTCATCTCTCTCCCGATGGGCAGATGTCTTACTTGTACTCGACGTTCGCGCAGCTGGTTAGCGTGCACTGCAAGACGACGGTGGGCGGCGGATTACCTGTAAATCAGTGCAAGCACAATTTGCTCGGCTATGGCTATGAGAAATTGCAGACATTCTCTGATGGGCAACTGGAGGCGCTCGATCCGTACCAGCGCGATGCGAATGAGCTGAGTGAGTATTGCATATTTATGAGTGCATCCAGATCGAATCATGGGAATCCGTTCGGTATGCACTTCCGCATGCGATAACAGCTGATGCTGCCGCTGCTGCTGCAGTTATTATATTTTTCTTATTTCTGGCAGCGAAACGTGTTTTCCACATTAATATGCACAATATGCGATAGCGATAAGTGTACGTGGTTATTTGATTGTTGACTCCATTTATCTTTTTCCGTAGTCTGGGCATCGATTATGCGGGATCATCCCAGTGCTCAGCTGATAACGACACGCAAGCCACAGCCAATTCCAACGCCGCCCGCCTCCTCACTGATCATACTCTCACACCGGCAGCCGGCACAGAATCCGCTCTTCGAGAGCAGCGCCGGCAGCAGCAGCGAGCATAAGCACAAGTATGCCATGGATATGGATATGGCCTATGGCTATGGCGGGGAGCAGCCGTCTGGAGCAGCAAGTGAACTGCCCGTTGCCGCCGCCTTGACGGCTGAGCCGCCCCAAAGGTATCTGAGTGGGCCACTGGTGATGCGCCTGCGACCCGATGGCACGCCCGTCGAGGAGGATAAGCATCGTCCACTGCCACGTGACGATGATCTGGAAACGTATCGCATGGCCAACAACAGCAACCTGCCCAGGCCAAACAGACATCGCAAGATCGCCACCATCAGCGCACTCAAGCAGCAACACTTTGCGGCCATTGCTCTGCAGCGCGAGCTGCAGCCACCGCATCCCCAACAGGTGCGGCGACAGTTCCGCCAGGCACAGGTGAGCCCCGGCTACTACTACAGCAAGGGGCAGGCGTAAATGTGGCAAAGCGTTTTCTCTTAAACATGTACTAGATCGTAGCTAATCCTAAGACATAATATGATTGAGTGTGTCCGGGTGTCTGAAAGAGTTATGAATGTGATATATATATTATATACGAGGGTGGTCCAAAAAATCGTTCACCTTAATACGAAGATAGAAATATAGAAAAATACAAAATTAATTTATTTTAATTAATAAATGTAAATGTCCATCCTCGTATTTTTGATCGTGCATGTATATTATAATATATTTATGTATGTGTATATATACATATCTGTATGTATGTATATGGTTAGGTGTGTAGATGATTTTCCTGCACTTAAGCCTTATTGAATTTTGTATTTGTACAATTTATATGACAGCGTTTAAGTTTTTCTATAATTTTATTTATTTTTGTGCATTAGTTTTAAGCTGAAATAGAGATTCTTATAAAAAAAACAGACACTTTAATAAAATTTCATATTTCGTTTTTGTGTGTAGTGGAACTTAAAACCAGTTTGATGCGATTATATGTATATGCATTATTTGCATATATGCGAATATACTTAAGTTTATGCAATGAAAGTTGCGATAACAAAGCATCTCCAGCTTTATACATACATATGTATATGTATATATACGTGTGTATGTATATATGGATGTACATTGAATCCAGTTCCCTCTATGTGTGGGTATATACATGTATACTCATCAGCACGCGAGCGCCTCATTAACCCATATACAAATATATGTATGTGTTTGCACTTTAAGTCGAACAATGAAAACAATGAAAATGTATTATAAAAATGAGAATCCGGTTCTGAATCTCATTTGTCACTTGAAATGATGTCAATTCTGAAAAAACAGCAATTAGAATCGAATCTGTCAATTACACAGTCTCATGTAATGCCAAAAAGTCTGGTTTATCCACTTGGCCCCGAAGTGCTGAGAATTAAAAACAAAATTTAAAAACAGGAGCTTCTTACTGACAACGTATAAATAATAACTGTAATATTAATATGCTGATAATACAACAAATTATATTAAGCAGAATGCGCGTTCAAAGCGGCGGCGTTTCTGTGCAGTGTTGGACAATTTCGCAAGTTCGCCTCAGATAACTGCCATTCACGTTTCGAATCGACAAACAGCTGATTTTCCATTTTGATTCTGGCCACACTGAATTAATAATGCCATAATTCCCACGAATATAAAAATAACTTATTCGACTGCGATTCTAGAAAAAATAACATCGAAGAATAGAAATTAATATTTTATGATAGCCCGGTGCCCACAAAACTACCGATAAGGTTTGTACACAATTAGCATTAGTAATATCAATAATATTTGTCATGACGCAGCAAGCGGGGAAGCCAAGAAATTACATTTGAGGATGAATCACAAAAAAAAAAATAGATAGCTAAGGAAGCATACAAGATAGTATCTGTATACCAGTAACAAATACCAAAACACAGTTAATTTATTCCCTCAGGTGTGTGGGGTTCAAAGTTGACAATTTATCGATTAACTGTGGACTACTTGCCTGATTTCATCACCAATGCCAATTTCATTTGAATTCTGGGGAGTCCCCCTGCAAGTGTGCCACATTTAACGCGCAGTCGTAATCGTAAAAATTGTTTACAATTTCAGTGACAGAACGAACGTGAAGGCGAAATGGCTGAAGAAGATTCATTCGTTATTTTAGGCAGTTCGCCTTTGTCTTCGCTCTGCTCTCAAGGCGGTTCTCTATTAACCGATGCATTGGACAAAGAACCAACAGAAACCGCTGTAGAAGCTCAACAAAACACGAACGTTAAAGTGGAAACACCAGCCATCATAAGTCAGCCGAGCCCAGTGCCAGAGCAAACAAATTCTACAGAAAGCAGCTTACCCACAACTTTACCTTCTGGTCAAAGTTCTTTGGCAGCCAGCTTTTTGATGGGCGAGGTTCAGGCCGATGTGCTTAAGGTATTTATAACATATCGTAATATATACACATATATACTAACTTACTTTCTCCGAGCAGAACAGCATATACTCCCAGTTCCCCAGCTTTTGTTCTTTGCAAGCCCGCGCCGAGGATGTAGTCAAGCTACAGACAATGATGACCGAATACATGGCTTTGAAACGTATGTCCAGTGATTGTTCATTTTATATGCTTTAATTTAGTGCAAGCATCTAAAGATGTGTTAACTGCATATTTATATTTGTATATATTATGAGCTGAGTAATCCTTCTCATGCATTACATCAGGCGCTTATTCGTAAGGCCTGCCGTCATTGACATCTGAACTAATTTACCAAATCTAAAACATCTATTTATGCAGAGACCTTGGACAAAGTGAATCATACGATGCAAGAATATTATAAGATCACTCAGCAATGGCGAAACGAAGCGGCTGCTCGAGAGCAACAGTATCAGGTGAAATTGCAGCAATGCCAAGCGCAGATCGAGAAGTTAACTGTGGAAAACCAAGAGTTAAAAAAGGAACTGGAGAGTAATTTGGAGCAAATGCGGCTGTCTGAGGAGATGCATCAGAAAGAGCATGATGAGCTAAGGCAATGTGTTTCAGAGAAATCATCACTAATTAGCAATATGGCCGTTGAAATTGAAAAATTACAGCAGCAGCAGCTGGTGAGTCCCAAAGTTCATTTAATATAACAAACAAATATTAACATACTTCATAACTGTAATTCCTATCGCCTATAACGTTACTCAAGCTAAGATAAGATATACCTAATCATTTAGAATGTTGTATATATACATACATATGCATATATATTATTTGCGCTTTGTTTTGTTATGGATCTAATCACAATATAAACAATTTCGAAACTTGCAGCATTCTTACGAATATGTCCCTGATGATGGAAGTGTGGCGCCTGTAAAATGTCTGAAGAACGGGGATCAGGACAACAAAGTTAAGGATCTTCAGCGACAAATGTCTGCACTGTTGGCAGAGAACTTAGAATTTAAGGACATGGTGAGTATTCTTTATAAAAACAAATCATTTCCCTATTCAATGACTTACATACCTTACAGAAAAAGACGTATATCGAGGAAATAGATTGCCTCAAGGTTAGCTTGACCAGTGCTGAGGAGCTTATGAGAGGCATGAATGCAGACGTGAAGGCATTGAAAGCAAATGACGCACAAAAGGATGAACAGATTACACACTTGAAAACACAGATTGAAATCTATCGACGGGACTTTGAAATGGAGCGCGCTGATCGCGAAAAGAATGCTAGCGAAAAGGAGCAATACCTTATGGATTTACGTGCACTACAACGACGCAACCAAGAACTAATCGAAGCATTAGCTGAAGCACAAAAGCCTAACAAGTTAAGCTGTGGACCATCAAAGTTAGGAGCCAGCAGCAATAGCTTACGACCCGAGCAGAGACCAGTAAGAGTATGCAACCATAATGAACATATATGTATATATTAAATAATACTAATTCACTGTCATTTTTGTTCAGGTCCTAGATCCAACAGGCGCCGCCGCGAAGACAGCGGAGCCGGCATTGCGATGTCCGATTTGCTCAAAGCCCTTTTACGCTTTAACTGTTTTGCAAAGTCATGTTAATGATTGCTTGGATAAGAATTAAATATTAGTAGTAGTAGTAGTAGCAGCTCATATGTTAAATATTATTTATTATAAGCACAGCAATTATAAAATTGTTATATTAACAGATATACACATATATTACAAGTTTGGCATAGTTTAAAGGAGACGTCAGAGTTTACTTTGTATTGGCGGCATATCCAGCGACCAGACTCGACAGACCTCTTGGCTCGCGACGAGATTGTTTAGTACACTGACATCTGATAGATTTAAAAAACAAACAAAAGCGGAATATATTTTCATATACATATATGTACATATATAGCTTGCATACGCACCATTCGTCGTGGCAAATTCGTGTAGAGTTCGTCGTATATCGTATGTCGGTATAGCTGTATTTATATTTGGGTAAACAATATCATCATGTTTTATGTTAGACACACAAACGCCGAGAATGCAGCCGTTCTGATCAAACATTGGGCCGCCACTCTGGCCAGACTGCACGCTGCCATCAGACATAATGGCGCCCCGATCGCACTTGATAATACGCCCTTGGAATATGGAGGGATTGAAGTCGTACTTGAAGTTGAAGTTAATATAGTATGGAAACCCAGCATTATACACCGTCTGTCCCAATGTGGCGCGATTACGCGCTATGCGTACACAGTAATCCCTAGGAATATCTGCGGGTGTGGTGAGCAATGCCAAGTCGTAGGGGCGATTCTCATCCGGATTGCACCAAATGACATCAGAGGAGAATTCTCGATCGAATCCTCGGCACTGTACTACTGAATTTAGCTGAAAATAATTTGATAACTCATAACATATCAGTTTTATAACATAGTATAAATATATTTACCTTGCCAACAACATGCGCGCAGGTAAGAATAAAACATTTGTCGTGGACTCTGACGTAAGTGCCGGTACCTTGGTGGGAAGCCGACTCAATCACCACAATCGAACGCTCCCCTTTAATTGGGAAGAAAAACAGCTGTAATAAATGCATGTGTATATTGTATTAAATTACTACATACATGCGAAATTCGACGTCTCCCGTGGCAAAGTAAGAATGGTAATGCGCGTGCCCAGCTGCGCCATAAAATCCCTCACAAGATAACCAAAATTGGCAGCCAAAATCAGATTGACGTTCTCCTGCTGCCGCTGGAATGATGTGCATACAATGATGCCTATAAGTCGGCTGAAATGCAGAGACGTCAACAGTGACTGTCTAAAACTGAGTGAATAAATATCTGGAACACCTACAGCTTGTTGTTGAATACAGCGGCTCCCTCACAACCAAGAGGCAAAGCATTTGATAGGCCAAACAGAGAATTGCCTAACACATTACACACTTTGCCAATGCTTATTGTTTTGTAGAAGTTCTCCATGCCGAAGGGCGAGCACATGACCAGAACATCGTCCAGCGTGTGAATGGGCTGCAGATACCGCAAATAGCTGGAAATATGCTGAATGAAGCGCTTGAAGGATTCACGCTCCATCAGCTTCCTCATTGTCAGCACGAGAAAACTAGAGCGCAGCACATTCTGCTCATCGGAGTCGGCATTCCTTAATATCTTGTGCAGACTACGCGACACTTCTGCAGCGCAAAATACATACAAAGGTTGAGCCGTGTAGCGGGTGAGAATGTTTGCCGGATGGGCCGAGCTTTGCTGTATACTGCGATCGGGCACTGAACGCCGATGTCGATCAAAGGTCACCAGATAATTTAATCCGCGTAGTAGTTTTCCCTCACGACACTGCACGTCCTGTGCATCGACCAGATTGCACTGTTGCAGGCTATGAATGAGTCTATCCCCTGTATCCGACTGGCGAGCGAAGGACTGCAGAATGTTGGCGCAGCTAATTATAATCTCATTGTTGATTATAACTGCTGATTGCTTCACTGTCTCTTTGGCTGACTGATTGCTGACCTCCAGCAGGGCATGCCGTATTTTTAACAACATTTCTAACAGTTATAAACAAGAAACACTCAGCAGCTGCAGTTAAACTGTTAATTAACACATTTCTTTGTTTTCCAAAACAAACAAACGCAATACACACACACACTTATGATCTCCGCAAGCAAAAAAGGTCGCGCCCGAACGGTCGTATAAGAGAACAACGCCATATTTGCAGTGATAAATGTACGGCGGTGACGTCACACTGCTAAAAAATACCAACTTGTAACTCAAAGCAACAGTGCAACAGCTGTTGCCAATCAGCTGTAGCTGTGAGTAGCCAAACATTTCGCATAACCTCAAGTTCCATTTGCTGGTGCAACATTACTTTATATCAATGATAAGTTTTGCATAATGTTTTCATTAAAACTCCGTATGCTACAGCCGCTGCACAGCAGCTGCTGCAATTTTAAGCGTAATTTCACACACAAAAACCTGCTGGAGCTGTCAGATCGAGGCTTCTTTCAGAGCATTTTCCCGGACACAGCAGCGTATGTTAAAATGTAAATTATCAAATGCTAAAATATTGTATAAAAATTTATTTTGTTATAGACCAAGGATAAAGCAGCTCTTCACGAAATCATCACAAAGCATTTATGCTGGGTTTGATCCCACTGCGGACAGCCTGCATGTCGGAAACTTGCTTGTGATAATGGGCCTCTTGCACTGCCAGCGAGCCGGTCACAAACCGATTGCGCTTGTTGGAGGAGCCACTGGTCTTATTGGTGATCCGAGTGGACGTAAAACGGAGCGCAATCAGCTGGGGCAGTCTGTGATAGAAACAAATTTGCAAGCCATTGAGGGACAATTGCGTCGAGTATTCAAAAACCATGAGGATTGCCTTTGGGATACACGAAACAACAAGTCTCAACTGGCGCCACTTACGTGAGTAACATATTCTTATTTAAAAATTCAGTTTTTTAATAATATAAAATATATAATAATTAAATAGAATTGTTAACAATGCCGAGTGGTATGCGAATCTTAATTTGATCGACTTCATTGCCAACATGGGTCGACATTTTCGCATGGGATCAATGCTGTCGCGATCCTCCGTCCAAACGCGTTTGGAATCGGAGGATGGGATGAGCTTCACAGAGTTTACGTATCAAATCTTCCAGGCCTACGATTGGCTACATTTACTGCGTAAGCACAACTGTTGCTTCCAGATGGGCGGCTCCGATCAAATGGGCAATCTAATGACAGGTCACGAATTGATAAGCCGTGTGGAGCGCAATCGTGAAGTCTTTGGCTTGACTCTGCCCATAGTTACGAATGAGGAGGGTGATAAGTTTGGCAAATCTGCGGGGAATGCAGTATGGCTAGATGAAAATAAGACATCGCCTTTTGCACTGTATCAATTCTTTTTGCGTATGCCCGACTCCGAGGTGGAGAAGCTCTTGAAACTATTCACCTTCATACCACTGGCCGAGGTCGACCAACTGATGCGCGAGCATGCCAAAGAGCCAGAGAAACGTAAAGCCCAGACCCTGCTGGCTGAAGATGTCACCTTGCTGGTTCATGGCGGTAGATATAAGTAGATTTGCTTTTTTTATATATCTCTAATATTATTTTTCTTCACAGAGCATGGATTAAAGCAAGCGGAGCGCGTTACCAATGCGCTCTACAAGGGCAACGTGGACGGCCTGGCCGAGTTGAACTATGCTGAAATCAAACAAACATTTCAGGGAGCTACTGTCGTTGATTTACTGACCGAACCGGGCATGTCCATACTACAACTGGCCATGAAAGCGAAGTGCTTCCCAACAGAATGTAAGTTAATTGAGAACATAAAATGCAAGTTTATGTAACTAAATTATTGTCTTCTAGCTGATGCCGTTCGTATCATCAGTGCTGGGGGCTTCTACATTAACCAAAAGCGTGTGCAGAATATTGCAGAAGTTATAACAACCGGCATTCACATTCTCCGTAATGGCGTATCCTTATTGCGCGTTGGTAAGCGCAACTTTTACATAGTGCGTTGGCAATAGTTAAGAATGTACACAATTGTTAAATAATTATTTAATAATTAAGTTATAATATTTTAATTACGAGTCTTCAACTAAGTATTTACATTTTCGGTTTGGGCTTGCGCCAGCGCTTGCGCGCCAACAAATCCTTAGCCTTTTCCTTCTTCAAATCCTTGTCGTAGAACTTTCCGCTCTTTGTGAATGTCTTCTGCTCGTTACGCATCTCGGCCAGCTTGCGATTCTTCTGTTTGATAATGTTCTTCTTGTTGGCTGACTTCTTTTTGCCTGCCTCCGATATTTGCACCTTGATTTTTCTTCCCTGCAGCTCTGAATTGTGCAGCCGAAAACCTTGCTTGAAACCCATTAAGTCTTCCATTTCCACAAAGGCAAAGCCTCCACGACGCTTTTTAGGGATGCGTATGGATTTGACTGCACCAGCCACTGAAAAGTGCGACTCCAGGTCGTCCTTGGTCGTTTCGAAGTTCAGATTTGTTACATAGAGTACGTGTCTGTTCACCTTAGCTGCACCACGAAGCAAGCTATTTAATTGAGCCGTGCTTATGTGCCCATCCTCGTGGGGCTCTTCCTCTGACTCGGAGGCCTCACTCTCGGCTCCTGCACCATTGGCGGCTTGATCCACATTTTCGTCATTCTCCTCCTCTAGTTTAGCTTCGTCGTCATCGCTACTTTCCGAATCGCTTGGATTTTTTGAAGTCTCTTTGTCCACATAAGTACCCTCGAAAATCTCCTTACGTTTCTCGTCATCGAAATTCCCCAACAGATCAGCGGAGTCATCATTGACTGTCCGCCGGACTCTCTTGGGCTTTACATACACCTCCACGTCGTAATCACTGCCAGATTCGGAGTCGCCGTCATTACCGGCCATTGCGCTCTGTTTTTATTAATACAAAAACAATTCTCAAGAACACTAAAACAACTTCAGCACGTGTGAAGCGTTAGCATTCCCTGTGAATGGCTAATTTACATGCTTCCTCTTCTTCCTGAAGCATACAAAAAGCAAATAATCGCGGAAACTTTAAATTTTTTGATCTTAATTTAATAAACTTGTTTTATCATGTGTTATCACAATTGGCGCTGATGTGGCTTTCATATGTATTTTGTTCTTAAACATATTAGTACCTTGTTAAACATATTTTATTTATTTCAAACCTGATACTGAGCTGTCTAATATGACCAGTGCATTTGTAAAATGAAAGAATTGCTAAACAAACCAACCGGTTGAATTATATAAACATTATGCAAATATTAACRTGATTTAATTAGGGTTTTTGATAATTAATAACTTATTCATTGTTCATATGTACATATGTTGTTTGTATTGTATTGTTTATTTTATTAAATTTTTATTAAATTTTTTTTTTAAATAAAATTAAGGAAACTAATTATAATCCAACAGAAATGATAGAAAAAAACCATATGGAAATTTAATTAAAATGATTTCTTCTCTGACAGGGGACAAAACATTTAGCTATTCTATATAGATACATATATTAACAAAAGCCTGGCAAGATAAATAACTCAATTGCATAGGAAATATTCTCTAACTGGCTGCACCGAAAATTTTTAGCTAATTAAAACAGATCAAGTTTGTTTTAATTTATGCAAGTTGTTAGGCAAGTTGCTAAATGTCATCTGACTTTCGGATGTGTATAAAAACGTAGCGGGATCGTAGCTTTCATTAGTTCTGTTTCGCAGTCTGCTAACCGACAACCAAATATCCTTCAACATGAAATTCGTGGTTAGTATCAATATTGATGATAATTAGAAATTTTGTTATAATACATACTTAAAATGCCTGCAGATTGTCTTCGCTTGCTTCTTGGCTCTTGCTTTCGCCGATGTTCCGGTTACTGTCAAGGAGTATAACGAAGTGAATCCCGATAGTTTCAAATACGAATGGGCAACTTCTGATGGCAGCAATGTCCAACAGGATGGTGTTTTGAAGGACCCTCACACCATTCTTGTTAAGGGATCATACGAGTACGTGTCGAGGGAAGGCAAGGTCATCAAGGTCACCTACACCGCTGATGAGAACGGCTACAAGCCCGTCATTATCCAACAGTAGATTAGCCGAAACGTATGTGAAAACGAAATAAATGCCATGAACATCTGAAAAATGATTTGTTTAAATTTTCGAGCGCAAGTTACTTGAATTATTGTGAATGGTATATCATGCTTCTTTTTGCTTGAGTAGTGCTGGTAAACACCCTAAAAAGTAAGGGTAAGAATTGTGCAGCACTGTTGCAATTGCTGCTCTTGCTCTTTTTTGCAAAATTGTTTAAACAACTTTAAAAACTTTTGTGTTGGATAAACAAAACTTGTATAACTGTAAAATACAGCATGGAATCGGAGTCTGCAGCAGTAGACTGCTCAGAAAACGACGATGCAGCAGCAGTTGATCCTTCGATTGAGGCAACGGCTTTGCCGGCTGGAAAGGCAAGCACAGTGAAAGAAGCAAAAGCAGAGCAAGGGGAAAAGGCAGAAGGCGAAGAGAAAATGTCTTTGGATGAAGATGATCACGATGAGCCATCGAATACGACCTCCGAATCTAAAGAATCGGAGAAGTCAGATGCTACTGAACAGGACAAGAACATCGCCGAAATGACATCAGAAAAAACAGAAGAATCATCAATCATGAAGCTTGATTCGACCAAACCGATTGAAACTGATTTGGATAGCAGCATTGAACTAATCAGTAGCCCAATTTCCGAGCAGTTGGAAGGCGCAGATAAAAATACCAAAGGCTCAACGGACGAAAGTGATGCAGTTAAGGAATGCGTTGGCCCTCTAATAGATTCTACTGATGCACCTAAGTCGACCGAAGATGACTTGGATAGCAGCATTGAATTAATTGAAAGTCCCGCATTAAAAGAACCATCCGAAACAGATAATATAAAAGACAGTAAGTCGGATAGCGACAGCAGCATTGAGCTGATCAGCAGTCCGAGGAATACGGAAGGCAACAATGAGGAGGAAACCGATTCCAAAACGGACGATAAAGAGAGTGCTAATAGTAATCCTGACATAGATAGCAAAGACAAAGAAGAAAGTGAAGATAAGCGAATTATCACCGAGCACATCACAGAATCAAAAACAAATACAGAAGATGCCACCATAGTAGGCGCTAAGTTCGATTCAGCTATGCCAACAAAAAGCACAACTGTAGAAAAGGAACCGATTGCACCCCAATTGATGACAGTTGCTGAGGAGCCACAGCAAGCCGATGAATCAAGCAATGCACAAAAAGAATCCCTTCAAGATGAGCCCATGAAAACAGAGCCTAGTCAAGAAGTCGAAAGTAGCATTTTAGTCAAGCTACACGAAGAGGATTATAAAGAAACAAAACCCGAGGGTGACTCGAAAGAATCCGTTGACTATGAGGAGGATAACGAAATCTACTACAAGAAGGATTGCATCAACTGCAATTGCGAAAAGCTGCACAAGCAATACGTGCGCGCTAGCTTGGCAGCTCTCAACTACTACAAGGTGCCTAGAAAGGCCCATAAGAGACAGTACATATGCATGGGTTGCTATGACACAGCCATGGACATGTATGAGGTGGGTAGTTCAACATAAATGTGAAACAAGATATCTAATATATACTGACAAATTTAGGACTATGCGGGTCACTTAGTGGCCAAGCAACCGCTGCTGCTGCGTAGCTTCAACCAGAATCATGCGGACTTTGTAGCACTGGACAGTAGTGATGAGGAGGAAGACGATGATGAGCAGAGTAAGTGTGAACATATATCTTTATAAAAAAAATCTGACATCTTATATTCCAAGCGCAGGCAAGCCCGAGTTCTCAGCGAATGATTTGCAGCTAATTGAGAACGAGTTAGAGGATGCAATAAAATCTGTTATAAACCGAGTGGATCTGGACGACCAAATGGCTTGGTCGAAGAGCATACTTCAGGCCAAATCGCAGCGCATAGGACAGGAAATCGAGATGGTCAATGACGAGCTTTGCAAGCTGCAAAATATGGCAGACAAGATGCACTTTGCTCTGTACAGTTCATGTCAAGTGGTTCACAAGCATTTGCCGCCACTTGACCTGTACCACAACATGAACGATTATGTAGTGAGTGCAGCGAAGAAATAATTAAATATTAATTTCTATATATATGCATTATATTTTGCAGCAAGTGCCACCCGCTGGTGAGATAGAACGTCCGCCCATTCAGCTGAACGAGACCTACTATGCTGTGAAGAACAAAGCAATTGCCAGTTGGGTCTCAGTCAAAGTGATTGAGTTCACGGAGAGCTCTACGGTGGGCGGCAACGTAATTAAAAGCTATAAGATTAAATATCTGAATACGCCATATCAAATGGTTAAAACGGTAACGGCTAAACATTTGGCCTACTTTGAGCCGCCCCCAGTACGCCTAACGATAGGTGAGATACCTATATATATACATATATTATATCTGAGACTTTCTAATATTTACTTTCATTTGTCAACAGGGACTCGTGTTATAGCCTACTTCAATGGCAGCACTCTGTCGCGCGGCAAAGAAAAAGGTGTCGTTCCCAGCGCCTTCTATCCGGGCATCATAGCAGAACCCTTGAAGCAGGCCAATCGCTTTAGATATCTAATATTTTACGATGACGGCTACACACAGTATGTGCAGCACAACGATGTGCGCTTGGTTTGCATGGCGTCAGAAAAAGTGTGGGAGGATGTGCATCCAGGCTCACGTGACTTTATACAAAAATATGTGGAGAAATATTCTGTGGATAGACCTATGGTGCAGTGCACCCGTGGCCAGAATATGAACACTGAATCCAATGGCACCTGGTTGTATGCGCGAGTGATTGACATTGATTGCAGTCTGGTGCAGATGCAGTTCGACGATGACAAGAATCATACTGAGTGGATCTATCGCGGTTCGCTACGTCTAGGCCCCGTCTTCAAAGAAACGCAGAACGCCTTAAATAGCGCCAATGCCATGCAACAGCATCGTGTTCCACGCGTGAGTTTACCTATATATTGAAGACTGCTACTCATATTAATTATAATTATTGTCATTCTCTATTAAGCGCACCGAGCCCTTCATACGCTACACCAAGGAAATGGAGACAAGCAGCAGGCAGGTTAACCAGCAAATGCGCGCCATTGCCCGGAAGAGCAGCTCCGCACCACAGAACGTAAATATGTCATCATCGTCATCAGCTGCAGCAAGTGCTTCCAATGCTGCTGCTGCAGCTGCAGCCCGGAATACTGTTCGACATTTGAACAACTCCACAATCTATGTGGATGACGAAAATCGACCCAAGGGCCACGTCGTGTATTTCACCGCCAAACGCAATCTGCCACCTAAGATGTATACGCCACATGAATGTACGCCGGCCTGTCTGTTCAAGATCGTTCATCGCCTGGATAGCTACAGTCCGTTGGCCAAGCCATTGCTCTCTGGTTGGGAACGTTTAGTATTTAAGCAGAAGGCCAAGCGCAATGTGGTCTATCGCGGGCCTTGTGGCAAGAGTTTTCGTAATCTGGCCGAAGTGCACAGATATCTGCGTGCCACCGATAATGTGCTAAACGTGGAAAACTTTGATTTTACACCTGATCTACGTTGTCTGGCGGAGTACTCCATAGATCCCACTATTGTTAAAGAAGCAGACATTTCGAAGGGTCAAGAAAAAATGGCTATACCACTCGTTAACTATTATGACAATACATTGCCACCGCCATGTACTTATGCCAAACAGCGCATACCGACAGAAGGTGTGCATCTTAATCTCGACGAGGAGTTCCTGGTGGGCTGCGATTGTGAGGATGATTGCTCGGTAAGTAGGCCTGAGCTTCCTTCCCAGAAACCAACTAATTGCCTTCCTTTCAGGACAAATCAAAATGCGCCTGCTGGCAGCTGACAATTGCAGGTGTCCGCTACTGCAATCCCAACAAGCCGATCGAAGAGATTGGCTATCAATACAAGCGTCTCCACGAGCATGTGCCCACTGGAATTTATGAATGTAACTCGCGTTGTAAATGCAAAAAGAACTGCTTAAACCGGGTGGTCCAACATTCGCTAGAAATGAAGCTGCAGGTGTTCAAAACCTCGAATCGAGGCTGGGGTCTGCGCTGCGTCAATGATATACCGAAAGGTGCATTCATTTGCATTTACGCCGGCCACTTGCTAACCGAAACTATGGCCAACGAAGGTGGATTGGATGCTGGTGACGAGTATTTCGCCGATTTGGACTACATTGAGGTGGCCGAGCAGTTGAAAGAGGGCTACGAATCGGATGTTGAGCACTCACCGGCGGAAGAGGAAGAAGACACTTATGTGCCAGATCCTGAGGATGATGCAGATTTCATGCCCGCTAAGTATTATCAACCTCGCAAAAAGGATAAACTACGAGTCTCCCGCAGCCACTCCACCCAATCCACGGAGCAGGACTCACAGGAGAGGGCTGTGATTAACTTCAATCCGAATGCAGACCTGGACGAAACAGTCCGAGAGAACTCGGTGCGTCGACTTTTTGGCAGAGATGAGGCACCCTACATAATGGATGCCAAAACAACTGGCAATTTGGGGCGCTACTTTAATGTGAGTGCATGCGTAACGCTCGCTGCCATAATCTTTAGCTAAACGCATATTTAATTATTTTGCAGCATTCGTGTGCGCCAAATTTGTTTGTGCAGAACGTGTTCGTGGACACGCACGATCTACGTTTTCCCTGGGTGGCTTTCTTCTCGGCCAACCACATACGCTCCGGCACCGAACTGACTTGGAATTACAACTACGAGGTGGGCGTGGTACCTGGCAAAGTGCTTTATTGTCAATGCGGAGCAACCAACTGTCGAATACGATTACTTTAATTATGTATACCTATATATGTATTTGTAGATGACTGCACCTAGTAGTTAACAAGTTAAACACAAAAACGATTAATATATATAATTAAATCTATAAAATCTTGTAAACATATTTTTAAATATTTGGTTCGTTAGGCTTGTATTTTTATTTAATGCAATTCGCCTCAAACTGTATGGCTTGCAGCCCTGGTATCAGGGTTAGTAAACGAGTTGCCTAATGGTGTAAAGACGCTGCCCAACACTAGTTAGAGGCCGATGCTGAAAAAGGCAAAAGCAAAAAATTAAATTTCATGTGTGTAATAAAATTGAAGCCGTAATGTGCTCAATTGCAACACTATAACTGTTCAAGTTGTACGTGCAACTCGCGGCGCTTAAAAATTAAGGAGCGTGGCCACCGTACAACCGCACACACATTATAAAAGCGAGTTCCGCCCTCGCTTACCCTTACGCCAATAAGAGAGAAAAAAATCGATTTTGTGATAGTGATAACAGCGCTTACGCTTAAAACAACGCAGAGGCAGAGAGGCAAATTCCGTGGCTTTTCTGCATACTATTTGAGATCGAAGTGTGCACACAATATACACAAATCGGTGGCAATATGAATTTGGATTTTACTAAAGTGTGCGGCAAGCACAACCTCGTCTATGAGGCGTACTACAAACAGGTAACGACGAATCGTACGCTGGAATTTGTGTGCGGCGGGTGACTAACAACCCCCTTATTGATTTTTTTGCGCGCTTGTGCCCAATTTTTATTTTTATAGATTGACCCAAAGGGCACTGGTGCCATTGAGGCCATGACGGCCGCTAAGTTCTTGAAGAAGTCAGGCTTAAGCGATGTGGTGCTCAGCCGCATTTGGGATCTATCCGATCCGAATGGCAAGGGTTTCCTGGACAAGCCAGGATTTTTTGTTGCTCTCAAACTAGTGTCACTCTCTCAGGCGGGCCAGGTGGCCAATATGAACAACATCTACATGGATACGGTGAATCCACCGAAAGTGGTAAAATTGTTACACAACTGCCAGCGAAGAAAAACCAATACCTAATCTGTGTCACATGCTTTCCAGGGTGAAATACCAAAGGCCCTACCTACTCGCATACAGACGGTGCCAGTTGCCGGCGCAGGTGCCCCAAGTGGGGACTGGAGTATCAGTGTCATCGATCGACTCAAGTATGAGCAACTGTTTGAATCGCTAAATCCGCAGAACGGCATGCTACCAGGCAACAAAGTAAAAGGCGTGTTGATGGATTCTAAGCTGCCCATGAGCATACTGGGCACTATCTGGGATCTTGCTGATCAGGACAAGGATGGCAATCTGGATAAGCACGAGTTTATTGTCGCAATGCATCTCGTTTATCAGACACTCCAGAAACGCACAGTGCCCAGTGTGTTGCCACCAGAACTTCGAAAGGCACCCAAGCCTGCGATGCCACCGCCACCAGCTGTTGCTGGTGTTAATGCTCCAATGCCACGCGCGCCCAGTGGTGAGGGCTTTGGCGATGGTGGCTTTGTGGCCAACTTTCCTAAAGATATTGCGCCGCCGGCAGCTATACCACCATTGCCAGTTGCTGTGCCGCCCATGACACGCATTCCACCAGTGGGAGCAGTTAGCGTACAGCCACTGATACAAACTGATCCACTGATACCCATTGGAGCACCACCGTCGGTGACGGCCAACGCTGATTGGGTGGTCAGTCCAGTCGAACTACTAAGATTTGAGGAAATATTCCGACAATCCGATTTGGACAAGGATGGCTTGGTTTCTGGACTCGAAGTGAAAGACATATTCATTAAATCGGGTATACCACAACGCACTCTCGCAGACATTTGGTAAGCAGCGCAATGTAGTTTCCAAAAGATCTCAAATTAATATATTTATCCATTATTTCTTTAACAGGGCACTGTGCGACACCAATCAATCGGGCAAGCTGACCGTGGAGCAATTCGCGTTGGCCATGTGGCTTGTGGAGCGTAAACAGCGTGGCGTTGATCCGCCTCAAGTGCTAACGGCTAATATGGTGCCACCGTCAATGCGTTCAATTGTGTCTGGTGTGGAAGTGCAGCCGCAGGAGACAAAGCCGACATACTCAAACCCCGAGTTGGAGATGATATCCAAAGAGATCGAAGAACTGGCACGCGAGCGCCGTGCCCTAGAAACGGAAATCGCACAAAAAGAGGCCGATGTGCGTATCAAGAATGGTGAAGTGCGAAGCCTACAGGTCGGTAACTCATAGAACACCACATACGTATGTATATATAGAGCTTCTTATAATGGAATTCGATTTGTTGCAGAGCGAATTGGATACCTTGACGGCTACGCTAAAGCAGCTGGAGAATCAACGTGGCGAGGCACAAAAACGTCTCGATGATCTGCAGGCTCAAGTAGTTATCGTTGCATGATCTGAAATTGATCTTAAATAGCTTGAATATTGGGTTTAACTGCTTTCCTTAATATGTGACTTTGATTTTCATTGGGTTTAATTTGAATGATTTCCATTTCCCTTTTCTTTATTATTTATGTTCCTCCACTGTTAACACAAATTGGTACGCAATTATTTTACCCAAATTATACATACTAAACTGGTGAATGCACTTAAAACATTATATTACCATACGTAACGTTAAGGTTACCCAAAATCTGGCCGTGTTGGCCTCTGTAAGTCTTGACATAACCCGCACCAGCAATCAGGTTTGTTTATTTATTATCGTTTGTGCTTTATGTTTGTGTGTTATGTTTCTGTGTTGTGTTTATGTTTAATTTATTTTTATTTTACAAGAAATGAAGAGTAGTGGCACTATATTTAACGCATGATTGTTCTGTTTGTAGGTGACCAAGATACGGGATCAGTGTCACAAGCAAGAAGAGACCATCAACGAACAGGAGGGCGAATTGAATGCCAAGCGCTCGGAGCTGCAGAAACTCAAGGATGAGGAATCAGCGCTACAAAAGGAATACGACAACAACAATAGAGAGCTATCGAAGCTAACAAAACATCTGCAGAATACACAGCTGCAGATTAGTTCTGTAATTATTTATAAATAGACTCTTAAAATATGTATATATTTGCAGCTTTAACCAATGTATTGTTGATTTTAGGTGCGCTCGATGGTCACCCAGCTGATGGAAACACAGCGACAGATGACGGATGCATTGCTAATTTGTCGTGCTGCCATGGAGAATCAAAATGCTGAACTTGTCTCGGAATATCAATTGAAAATCGAGCCAGACTTTGATGATGCCCGCAAAGTACTGCAGAAAGAAGTCGAAATGCCCAAAGATGATCCATTCCAGGAGAACAACAGCGGTGCTGCTAATAATGCTACCAATGGCTTTGACAACGATCCCTTCAGCGGGCAGGCTAGCAGCAAACCCACGCCCGCTATCGGCGGCTTTGATGACAGCTTCAATATGAGCTCTGGCTTTGACAGTGGCTTCGATGCATTTGGCCAGAGCAGCGCTAGCGGATTTGGACAAACGCAACGCGATCCATTTGGTGGCGATGCGTTCGGTGCAAACAAATCAAATGCCATAACGCCAGAGGTGAGCACTTCATGCTAATTTGTAAGATTCGATTAAAAATATTTATTGTATACGCAGCCTGGCAAAGATGATTTTGGCAGTGATCCGTTTGCGGCGCTGCACGCGCCCACGGGTCAGGGTCAGGTGCTTAGTCCCAATGCGCAACGTTCTGGCCCGCCACCCCGACCAGAATCACCTAGTCCAGCTTTGCCACCAAAGAAATCCAAGGTTCCACCACCTCGACCAGCTCCACCACGCGCAGCACAGGTAAATTAATTTAAGCAGTATAGTAAATTATTTGACAGGCTAACAAATACTCTCAAATTTATAGCCTACCGGCGGCTTTGGCGCTGGCGGCGGCGGTGGAGGCGGAGGATTTGCTGACTTTGACGATTTTGACAATAAGGTTGGTAGCAAGTTTAATGTACGTTGGGATCGGTGGTAATGCATGCACATCGCACCGCCGCAACTATTATTTTGTTAAATAGTTGAAATTGTTTTCACACAATGTTAAGTTTTTGTTTGCATTAACATGGCATTATGTATGCATATATATATTAATATTTTACTACGATTCGATTATTTTCGTTATTAATTATTATCACTAACCCACCCTTAAATTATTTGTAGTTGTGTTAACTTATTCTTTGATTCACCTAAACGAAAACCCTTAACAAATAAAAAACATTCTGCACTCGAACATTTTATTTTTGGTTTAAGTAGAAGTTTTAATTTACTAATTCGACAGTAGTTATATTGCTTATTGATTTGGGCAATAATGCAAATGCAAGAGGTACATATTCGATCCTTAAACACATTGCCTTAACTCTGCTGCCCGTACGAAACTAACTATTTGCTTTCATCTCTTGCAATTCTCTATTTTCAGTGAACATCTTAATAATAATAATCATATTTCAATAAATTCATATAAATATATATGTATACAGTTTATATATACATATATATATATAATATAATATTAACACGACACACACAGATAGACACAAACTCAGTCAGCAGTTGAGCCTAGCAACAAATTTGAAGCGTACAAAACCTAATTGCGTATACTATATAGACATTGCATATAGGACCCATATATCAGAGTTCGATCCGGCTGAATATTCGTATTTGTATTACACACATGGCCGGCCGTTCAGCATACTCGCAGTTTTCATGCCTAATTAGATAAATGTACTAAATTCAATTCGAATCTGAAATCAATCAATTGATATATCAAAAACAAAAGCAAAACAAAACGAAACCAAAAAGTAAAGTTATGTCGTGTTTAATGTAGTCAAAGTGTTTAAAGTTTAAATTTAACTAACGTCGCCACACTATGAAATGTTGTGCATTATTGTATTTAAATCATATTTACTTGAGATTTGCTTTCGTTTAAAGACCAAATAATCATATATACATTGCATACTATTATGGAGCATATTTCAGAAATTCTTAAATGCACGCCGAACCGTTTAGTTTGGATGAAATGCTAGTCTCGAAATGATTGATAGATTCATATATAACTCAATTAAGGAATTTAAATGCAAATTGTTGTTGTTTCTGCATATAATACTAAAGTTTATAGCAATTACACAAGACACACACATACATACATACACATATTTAATTGCATATATACAGCCTATGATCCACCATTAATATACATACATATATAGCTCGAATTTCATTAGCCTGTAACTTCCAAGATGATTGCTTTACTATTGATTAAATAATTTTCCACAAATGGAAGTTGCATCAATTGCTCGTGTACTCGAATTGCATTCCAACCGAAAGCTATATAGAATCAGCCGATTATAGAATCAAATTGTTAATACTTTTAAAAGACGCGTTGCCATCGACTAGGTGTAGTAGGAGCCATAGGATCGAATAACAATTGTTTTTCGTATGCACTCTGGATAATTGGTTAACGATAAATCATAGATAATCTAGTCCCACATCAGACTCTTGTTTGTACAATATGTTACGATATTTGTTTTGAGAGACATGCATACAATATATATATATACATGGAAATTATATATATATTTAGTACTATATACAACCACGAAACTGTTCACATACCGAAACCTAAAGCTTCCCGTACATTGATTTTAATGTTCAATACATAAATACTTATACATATAATGGGTACCCAAACTAACGTGTAACACCATCAAGTTTTGCATTATTAAACAACAAAAATATCTAAATATGTTCGACATCATTAATAATAATAATAATAATTATAATAACGAAGGGAATTCAGTTCAGAAAAAGAAAAGAAAATGAACGATAATTATAATGAAAGAATAACGAAAATTTATTAATTATAATAATTATAATAATAATGCATATAACAATTGAGTTATGATAAACAAAAATATAACCATAATGAGAGAATAAAGAAACATTTTTGTCGCATCCGGTTATATCAGCTTTGTTTCATGCAGGTCTCCTTCCCCTACTTATCTTCTCCACAGCAGCTACACCCGAGTATATATATTATCCTATATATATAAAAGCTTAAAGTTTTTCATTTTATTATAATTTATGGTATTCGGTTTTAATTTGCCAATATTTGGTAATAATTGTCTAATTCATTGACTTAATAGTTTATTTTCTCTCTTCTTTTTTGTAAATTAATTTGATTTGTATTTATTTTTTCCTTCTACTCACAAAAACACAACGATTTGTTTGCTCATTTCCCACATCCACTGACACAGCTAAAAAACATTCCAATCGGTAATCCAAACACCACCACGCCCATACCGGCGCCTAATACCACGCTGCTCGATAGCTTCTCGCTGTTTGATGACCCTCAAAGCCAGGGTAAGGCAGCCAGCACTAGTACACCAACACTGCCAACCCTGCACCCACAAGCCTCCACCCACACACTGCTATCGACATCATCGGCATCAGCATCAGCATCGACATCGGCATCGGCATCGGCAACGGCATTGACATCGGCATCGACATCAACATTGACATTATTATCTGCATTAGCATCCGCATCAGCCCCCACAGCAGTCAGCACAAATAACCAACATTTGTCGCGTTCCAATACACCGCTGCAGACACAGGGCACAACGGGAACGGCAACGGGAACCGGATCAGCATCTTTGGCTGGTCTTATTGATGCATTTGGCGGCACCAATGTCAGCAGTATCAGCAAGCCGGCTGCCACTCCAGTGCCTATAATACAAGGGCCAACCGACTTTAACGATGACCCCTTCAAGGACTATCGCTACGAGGATCCCTTCAATATCAAAGATCCCTTTGCAGATGATGATGAGAGCACGTCTGCAGGGGAAGCGAGCAAGAAGAACTTTGCCGAGGACTTCAGCTCGGAGGGTATGTGCCGCAGCCGTTTATAAATCAACTTCGTCCACATTAATCATACCATTTGATTTTCAGATGAGCTCCCCCCGAAGACCGTGAACAACAATAACAAATCAAAGACGGCCACACCCCTCAGCAGCGAATTGATGCATCAGTTTGATGCATTCAATCTGAATGCCAGTCCCGCACCTTCGCAAAAGTCGGCCACATCGAATCCGAAAGCACTGGATGCTTTTGCTGACTTTGACGACTTTGCGCTGGAGAAACCTGCAGAGGTTGGCGAAGCGACAAAGGGAACCACCAAAGCAAATCTGAACAAACTCAACGATTCCTTTTTCAATGCATTTAATGACAATTTCAATGACAACAACTTTAACTCAATCAGCTCGAAAAACAACGAACATACTAAGGTCAACTCGAATGTGTCCGCGTTTGATGCTTTCGCCGTTCAGAGTACGACAACGACAACAACAAAGAAATCGGACGCCAAGCTCTTTGATGCATTCAATGATAACTTCGAGGACAACTTTGGATCTGTTAAGCCTGCAAACTCAACCACGTTGGATACTAATTTTGCCAAGTTTGATGCGTTCGATGCACACAACTTCTCCAACGACTTTGGCAAATCGCTCAACGACAGCAATGCAAACAAGGGCAAACTGAATGGCAGTGGCAGCGGTACCACCAAGAAGAACCAGGAATCCCTGACCAAAAAAAATAATGAAAAGTTTGCAGCGGACTATTCGAAGCCCGAGAGCTATGACGCCGATCTGGAGGAGGCCCTCAAGCGGAGCATACTCGATAACTGAATCATTTGGCTAACCAAAAACAGTTATTAATGTGATGTTGCATACGAACAATCTCGACATAAGCGATGTGCATGCTCGCATTAAACGGCTATATACTAACTAGTACAGCTATACTATACTGCGTTTTAAAGCAACTTTCTAAACTGTAAAATACGCATGCTTTCAATTCTTATAGGTCATTTGGTGACTACAACATTGCAATAGTCGTGTATCTATACATATATATATATACATATATATTCCATAGTGTTTACACTGCAGATACTTTGATTGTCTAAAACAAACTGAAAATGCTGGTATTATATTCATTATATCATATTTAATAGTTTAAATGTAATCGACATACTCGTTAACGTGCTTCAAATAACGCGTTTGCGCATATGTATGTACACCAAAACTCTATGAATAAACCAAGAGCAATATATTAAACGCCTCTCGCTCACTAATACAATCATATCCGAGATCTGAGCTCCTAGCTCAGAGCTTAGAGCTCGGAGCTCTAACGAACTGTTCTACTCCCGCTCTCTGGTTTCGTTCAGTGAGCGCTCTTCGCTCGTATATTTTACGTTTCGATTTTTCAGTCACGTTTCCGAGTTCGGCGCGAGCGGTCATAGAAAAGTAACTTGTTGCGTCTAGCATATAAATAAATACAAATTATGTAAGTATATTAGTGCAAATGGATTTGGATGCGCAAAATCTACAAAGCAACATGCTGAGAGGGAACTCCTATAGGAAATTATACACGACTTGTTTATTAGCGCTGTTCTCACGACAATCACACGCACACAAACACACACACTCACGCACACATAAACATTAAAGTGCTACAAAAACGATTTGCCGGCAATGTCGATGTGTGTGACTTTAAAACAACAAACAAGACGCGATCTGGCAGTATTTTTCCTATTAGTTTGTGAATGTGTCATATCGCCATCCATATGCATCTGTATATACCTATATAAGTGTAAGCGTGCGTGTATGTGAGTTTGTCCCCCTACTAATTACATTTATATTGTTTGTGCTGCGCTGCGAATTCACTATGTTTGTATATAATAGTGCTTGTATATCAAGCGAGTGCCGGTCAGATCCCACACCGATACACCTGTACATAGCTTTGTACAGGTATTTATATATAATAAACAGCCTGCACACAGAGGTCGACTAAAAGGTGCACCTGTGCATTAAACAGAACTTTCACTGTGTGCACTCCTGATATTGTGTTATCAGCTATAGGGGGGCTCACGGAGACAAGGCTTTTACATATGTACATATGTATTTGTAGGCATAGGGCAGGTACTACTGTCTGTGTAGATGTGTAAGTAAAGTAAACATACGATGGGCTTATCGCACAACCAGATATGATAGGTGTTTATTAATAGGCGTGCTTTAATCTAATATTATTTAAATGACTTGCAGTGCGAGCCATGTCGAAGCCAGCCCTCTATTACGCCACACTGAGCCCGCCCTCGCGCGCTGTCATGCTGACGGCCAAGGCAATTGGACTTGAACTTGAACTGCGGTAAGTGCAGCCCACACCCAATGCATTTGGCCAATTAATGAATTGTCTTTGTTTTGTAGCCCAATTAACCTATTGAAAGGTGAACATCTGACGCCAGAGTTTCTGAAATTGAATCCTCAGCACACGATTCCCACATTGATCGATGGCGATGCTACCATCATAGACTCGCATGCCATATGCGCCTATTTGGTGGAGAAATACGGCAAGGAACATGAGTCACTGTACCCCAAGGACTTGGTCAAACGCGCCAATGTAGATGCCCGCCTCCACCTGGACTCTGGCCATTTGTTCGCCCGTTTGCGTTTCCTCTATGAACCAGTGCTCTACTTTGGCTCCACTGACTGTTCCGTTGATAAGATAGCCTATGTCCAGAAGTGCTATGAGATACTGGAGGGCTTTCTCAAGGATCAGACATACTTGTGCGGCAACGAGCTGACCATTGCCGACTTTTGCTGTGTGGCAACCGTGACATCCGGGAACGATGTTGCGCACATTGATGAGTTCAAGTTTCCCAAGGTGCACGCCTGGCTAAAGAAACTTTCGGAGCTGCCCTACTACAAGGCCACCAACGAGGAGGGTGCCGAGGAGCTGAAGGCACTCTTCAAGGCCAAACTAGCTGAGAATCGCTCCAAGTAGCTTCAGTTATTAATATCAATATATGTTATTTAGTAGCCGGCATTAGCTGGCGTTTCCTTGGTCAAGTTAATAAGTTTTTAACAAACACTTTTATTAGACTATCTTGGGTAAATAAATTATTTTATTTACCCGAGATATAGCTGTTCGTTTATTTTTGTTTTTTTTTTTTTATAGTATATAAATGTAAACTGTAACTGTTTCATTGCGATTTATTTGCAGGCAAAACCAAAAAATATATTTTACAGCATACTTTTCCGCATATCAAAAGTCAAAGCATAGTCTGATTATTGAGAAAAGATAGCATATTCTTGGGCTTGGAATTTACTGCAGGATGCATAAATTAAAATGTATATTTTCAAATACGAATATTTCGAGTCAATACAGACCAATTTCGGAGCAATATACTCCTGTGAATTCGAAAAGACAACGAATTTCGATTGGCACTAAAAATTTCACATTCAAAGTGGTTTCAATTTTTCAGCAACAAACTTTTTGTTCTCTAAGCAATATTTTAATATTTGGATCGATTCTAAACAGTATGGATAGACTATCTACACTTTCCCTTCAGTAAGTAAACTTATATAAAAATGATCATTTTCATTATTTTTATTTTATCAATACACATACAATTAAATTCTATTATTTTATGTCTTTATTACATACACTGCACATACACTTTTATATCTTAACCTATTACGTCGTAGTATTACATAGCATTTACATACTACAATATTGTAATTATATCTTATATTACATGTAGCAACAATATTCTTAAAGGTACAATAACGGAAACGGAAATCGCCCTGGGGTGGACCGAAACGGCATTAAAGGCAGATCGGTGCATAGGTTTGATTTTCTACTTGCTTTCTCTTTTCCTTTTTTTTATGGAAGGGGGTGGGGGTGGGGAGGGGTTAGTAGTAGCTGGTTTTTTAATTCAAATCTTCTTTCACTTTCAACTTTTGTCTTTTCACTTCAAAGCAAAGCGCGCTTTGTACATATTTAAAGGTATGTACGCATTTAAAGGTGCTGGGGGAAGGGGCGGTTCTTTAACATTGAGTAAAATTCATGTGATGCTTTTAAACATAATCTACGTATATAAAATATAAATATAAAGAACTGGTATCACGTAACCAAAATATTATAAGCTATATCTACAGAATGAAAATACAAATTTCTTGACACATCCACCATCGACGCCGTCGACGAGATGCAACTAGAGATGGAGATGATGACAGACTATGACAGTAACTATTTTGCCTCTCCGATCAAAAGCCGCCTTTTTGAGGGGGGCGGGCAGGTAACGTCGAGAGCGCCAACGGCGCATGTGAGGAATGAAATGTCACTGAACGACAGCTTCAACTTCAACTGTCTACAATATGCGTATAAAATATATATAAATGGGTAAACAGGCTATCACGACGCACGCTGATGCACAACAGTACAGAGCAACAGCACACACTCTATTACATAAAGTGTGTGTTTTGCTTCCTTTTCTTTTTATGTGTGAGTGTGTGCGCTTTGTCTCAGTTCCTAATCTCGACGCAATAAGAAGCGCTTAATGCTCTCGGGCAGTGGCAGCCGCGCAATGGAGCCGGTTGCGATGTGCTCCAGTATAACATTGCGACAAGCACTTTGCAAGGACAGTACTACAGAAACAAAAGAAAAGTAACCAGTTCAAATGAACGAATCTAATTATAAATGGAATCTGATTACTCACTGCCTTCCAGTTGTATGATGCGTATTTGCTTTGTCGTGCCATAAACATCAATAACAACGTACAAAGGTGACCTATTTAATGGTATTTCCTTTGACACTGGGCCCTTGTCCACGCCATTAATAATGAAGTGTAATTCGCCTTTGGATGCATCGGTCTCTGTCGGCACATACATGATGCCAATGCGCGAGCCTCTGTCTGTGAGCAGTATATCCGAGTTTCCATTGTCCATCGATGGACGCAACAGTCTCTTGGGCAGTAGGCCACGCGGCGTACGCACATGCGTTGCATCGCCAAGTAGATTACCTAAGGATTAAAGCAATTGAGCAATGATCCAGGGCTATTGGGGATCTCACTTTTACTCACGTTGGGGCGGCTCATTGGCTATAAAATCGACATTTTCGCCGGCTTGCTCTTGACGTTGATTCATTTCAAATTTTGAGATCGGATATATCCAGCTGTTTCCTAAATTGGCCAAGTCAGGCAACGCAAAGTGCGGCAATCCTTCGCTCCGCATGCCAATCACGTTTGGTGTCAGCTCCGTCAGGCCCAGTCGCATGTGTCCCGACCATCCCCGTTCGATTTTTTCAATCTCCACTAGAAATATTTCGCCGGGCGCCTGCACGGAATTAATCAATTAACATTCACGGTTTGATACACTTGCACACACACACACACACATACTACACTCACAGACACACACATATACATCCCATGTAGATACATAGAGATTAACAATGCTTACCAGCGGTCGCTCGGAGAAGGTGAGAGCATCGGCGAAGCTAGTGCGTCGAAAGGCGACTGTTGCATCGTCATCTAAGCGTATGTTGGAGCCATGGTATGGATGAAACCGAAAGAGCTGACGTTCCCACACACCAGCACCAGTTGTTGCGATTTTTGCATCATTCACAATTGCTGCGGCATCGATCTGTTCTCGGTCCGCCTCATTGTTGCCGGCGAAGTCGGCTAGATGCGGCGCCTGGTGGTTGTCATCAACGGCATCCATGATTTGTTGTATTGTTTATTTCTACCATATGTATTTCTTTATTTGTGTAAATTTTAAGTCGATCGGAGTGACATGGGACTAGTGTTGAGTAATGTGAAACTAGCTACTATTTATTTCCTGTGTTGGTAAGCGCGCGCATTCGCTTTTGACGTAACAGCGAACAGCTGATTGCAGCGGCAGACAAACGGCGAAAAACACGGTGAATTAAAATAAAATTGTAAATACTGAAAGAAAAGGTGATTAAATATATTCATTTGCAGATGCGTATCCCAGGAGCACTCTATGCGGCACGTGGGCGCAAGCCACAAAACGAAAAGGATGTGCCATTTCAGGAGATACTGCCGCTGCGCCTGAAGAACACGGTCAGCGGCAAGGCAGACTCTGGCTCCGATGTCGCATGCCTGCAGGAGATGGGTGTGCTGTTTGCCTGCCTCAAGGACAACGAGTTCGTGGAGAAGTACTGCCACAAGGAGATTAGTCAATTTCAGAAATGCTACAAATTCTACATGGATCGCAAGTTCGAGGCGAAACAGACGGTCAACCAGGGCATTGTGCAACCCGGCAACAATCTGAACTACAAACAGTTAAACAAATACATGAGACGCTTTCCCAATCCACAATAGTTCGTCAATAGTGGTGCCCAATGATTTGTTACGCATTTTAATACATATGCAAATTATTTACAAAGTCTTTTCAGTGTTTTTGCTATTCATAATTAATTTTAGTAGACAACATCCGCATCGCCCAGGCCCGCAGAGGATTGACTCACAGGTGAAGGCTGGCTCAGCACAAAGTTCGACATATTTCGCAAGCTGTGAAATGGCGTGTGCTGTTGTTGCTGCTGGTGCTGTTCGTAGATCTCTGCATCGTTGGAGGCGTATGACTTGCAATTGAAGTGCTGCAGGGAGTTGCGCGGTAAGGCGAGATTGATGTGCAGCGGATAGCCGCCATGCTCCCAGGTCTCTGTCAACAGGGCTAAGCTGCGATTGGCTTCCAGTACGCGAGCGCGCTGATAGTTAAGTCTCTCCTGCTGCAGCTCTGACCATTGCTCCTGTGAAGCAACCAGATCTCATTTATATGTATTAATGTGTATACAGTTATGCTACTTACAAATCGTGTGCCTAAACGCCCAAAGTACTTAATCTGCTCCTGGACATTGAGCACCTGCTGCATATAGAAATCGCGCGCCTTCTCCACGCCATCTAGGCCGAAGAGCAGCAACTCTCGCTGCTCCTCCAAATGCTTCAGTCGCTTCAGCATATTGTAGTCAATGCCATGCTGCAAGGTGTGCCTCCGTGACTCTCGTCGCTTATTATTCGATTTTTTGGGTGGCTGCGCCAGCGTCAATGCTCCCATAGTATAGTCCGTGGCCGAGGTGGAGGACGAGCCGCCATCGGCAGAGCCGCGATGCTCGAATTGCTCGCGTGCAGTCTTCAAGCTCTTCTGCTCGCTGTGCATGAGGCTCAGCTGCCAGTTCTGCAGCGCATTGCGTATGTCTGCCTTGGCTAACGGAGCAGCTCCTGCGGATTGACGCGGTGGCTTTGGCGGCGGCGCTGGCGTACCGTAATCCACTTCGAGCTCCAGCTCGGGACTGATCTGCGATCGTGGACGCACTTTTGCTGTGGGCGCACTGCCGTCCAGACCCAGACCCAGACCGAGCAGCTGTGGCGCTGACGGCGGTCGCGGCGGCTTGGTCACCTTATCGTGGATTTGTAGCTGCTGCAAATGCTGCGTCTGCTGCTGCTGATTGCGCAACAGGCACAGCTTCAGTCCCGCACAGAAACGTTCGAAGGATAACAGACCGCTAGGCGGCGTCACGCGACGCAGCGAATCCAGCACACCTTGAGGCAGACCCTTGGACCCATCGTCCTGCCAGCCCTTCTCAATGTCCGCAAAGCGCACATAGCCGCTCTGCTTATCATCCAGAATGTCGAAGAGTTTCTTCATGGACAGCACGAATTGTTTGGGCAGCGCGTCCAGCGAACTTAGGCTGCCGCTTTTGCTGGACAACATCTTCTAAATTAGAAATTAGTAACAGACTAAAATAAAAACAAAAATGGAAAGCGTGCATAAATAATAATCAACATTCATAGGTATTTCTTAGATTTCGCCCACGCTTTTTGCGCTCAATGCATATTTTTGAATAATCATAACGAAAGACTTAGGCAACGAACTAAGACAATGATGCGAACGAGCGGCACCATCGAAGCTTTGTTTATACACAAACATTTAAACAATTTGTGGCTGAATAACTCACTTGCTCTGCTGCTGGTTGCGGAAACTGGATATGCGGTTCTATGGCAGCCTCCTGAGGCCGTTCGTCAAGGCTTTGTTTGGCTTGCTCAATTTGACGTTACTTGAAATGAGTTTTTCTTTTATTTTGCAGCCATGCAATGCAGCTGGAAGAGCGGGCAACACATCCAAACCCAACCGACTGGTTGGGCAGACTGCAAAGCCGCGCTAAGCAAAGCGCACGCATGCGCAACTGGTTGAGTGGCTGGCGGGACAGGTTTTCAATTTTAGTTTAGGGAGACACACACACACACACACACACACATGCACACACTCTCAAACAACACCAATACCAAGAGCAGAACGCGTGCCATGGCCTAGCTGTAGTTGTAGCTGTATCCCCCCTGGAGCAGAAAAATCACAGTGGTACAATTATAGCAGAAATATTTATTAGTAGAAATTCAATGCGTATTCAGTCAAGGATAGCTAATTGCTTACTTAAGCACACACGCACACACATACATAAGTGTGTGTCTATGTGTATGTATGTTAGTTATGTTCATGTATTTGCTCGCAAGAAATGCAAACTCTGCGCAGTCCATGTTCGTCGGATCGCTAGAATGAGCATTTCATGCCACACGCTCTAAATGCTAAATGTGTGTTTAGTTTATTCTAGATTATTCTGCCCTACAAATCGGCGACAGACTTTCGGCGCACGTATTTGGCGAAGTAGTCGGGACGCCAGCACTTGCAGGAGCCGGGTATCAAGAACCAGTCGTAGTAGAGCCGCACCTGGAAGCAGCCCAGCTCATCGTGCCCATCGCAGTGCGCATCGGCCGGAGCACTCTGGGCGCCCGCGCCCTGGACACCTGTGCTGCCATCAGAGGCAGTGGCCACGCCGGCACGCTTCTGCAGATACTGCTGATAGGCCTGGAAGTCCTGCACGGATGGAGTCTGTGTCGTCGTGCTGCTACTTGGCACCGTGTCCTCTGCATTCGGATAGAAAATCTCGGCGACCAGCAGACTGACCCAGCGTGGCGACGACAAACAGCCGCCATCCAGATAGTGGCAGCGTGCCTGGATGCAACGCGTCACTTCCACAGTCTGCGTGAAGTAGCCCTCATAGGGTATCTGCACCACATAGCGCCAGGCGCCCTGATAGTTCTTGGCGAACACGGGCGTGGCATACTCCACCTTGGCCGGGCAGGGCGTGGGCGGTCCCTCATAGCGTATGGGTCCCACTTCTTCGCGCCGCTCAGCTGTCTGTGCGGCGGACACAGCGGGGCTGGTGTCGCCCTGAATGGCGCGATAAAGCGTGCAGAAGCTGTAAACGAAATCGAGAATCGGATAGAATGAGCTCCTTTTATATGTATAGCTTGACAATTTGAGTAAGTGGACTTACACTCCACCTCCATCGCAGAACTTGCGTGGCTTGCGCTCCTCGGCGGCGCGTCGCTGCTCTTGCAGCTTCTTCTGCTGCTGCTCCTCCTCATCTAGAGCGGGATCAAAGTAACTATACTCATTGGGCACCACGCCGTCCGGCAAGCTGCGCGTGACGCGGGTGGCATAATGCCGATCGATGTTGTTGTTGTCCAGCTGATCCACCGGCTCGTCGCGAATGATCTGCGTCACCTTGGGCAGCGTGTCGTCCGCCTTAAGCACGGGCAACGTCTTCGACAGGAACTTAAGTGTCTGATTGCGTATCAGTTCGCTGGGAGAGGGAAACCAATTGATGCTACATGGGAATGTGTAAGGATATGCATTCACTTACAAGGGATACGGTTCGCCGAGCACATTCTGGCCCAGCGGATTCTTGGGAATTTGTCCCTTATTCAAGTCGCCGCAGATGTTGTGCACGGACACCGCCGATTTCTTGCCGGAGGCCACATCCTTGCAGTCCGCATTGATGAACGTGTACGGCGGTGGACGCACTCGTGGCGGCACGGCATTCGGAGACTCCACAAATGCATAATAGCCCTCCGGCGGCTCCTCGCCGTAGTCTGTTTGCGATTGTGGGGCAGACTGCGCCGTCGACAGCTGAGCGAGCAGCAAAAAGCTAAGTATTTTCTAAAGATAAAACGAGTTTGGACATCAAATGTGTAATTTATATGAATTTTATGTGCATAAAGAACGCGACAGTATAAATCAAATTAATTGCTATTTGAATGGCTCGCTTTGTGGCATTGGTCATGGCCCCTGGCTCCGTGCTCCGCCATGCCCCAATGGGCACAAAGACGCGCTCTCAGCCGACGTTTGGCGAAAGCGCGAAAGTTGTTCGCCAGCATCAAAATAAACAAACTGAAACAACAACAACAACAGCAATAACAACGAATGGCACTGACCAAGAGTGTGACTTTTGCATCTTAGTCTCATTGTGGGGGTACTTGAGGAAAAAAACTTTCCCTGAAATTCTGTCAGCTTCTTTATTTTCCTCTTCGTCTGCGTCTCTGTTTGAATGAAATCAAAAGTTTCAGAATGTCTCAAGCTTTTCGGGTCAAGTAGGTGGCTCTGTTTTTCCCTCACACTCTTTTTTATTTTTTGTGTGCATATTTGGGCCAGCACTCTGAGAATCTCATGAAACTCAACTGTGCCCAACAATTTCGTATGGGATGCGGGTGTTCAGGTCTTTTGTGCTTTGCATCTCGTTCGTGACATGATTCACAGCCACACAAACAAAATTCGGCATTCCGAAAGAGCGAAAATTGGGTCAGCCACGGTCTGTTGTTGATTTTGACTTCATTTTTTTTTTTTTTTTTTTTTTTTTTTTTTTTTTTACTTTTTTATAATTCTTGTTTATTCTAATGAGCAATGCGTTGCCGTTGTCGTGGTAGTTTGTGTTTGTCTCTTCGATATCCATCTCGTTATGCGTAAAACTAGTTTGATTCGGTTTCTTTATTTCGGGGACTCCGATTGGGATCACCTTTTGCCCTTTTTGGATNGGTTTTTTTTTTTTTTTTTTTTTTTTTTTTTTTTTTTTTTTTTACTTTTTTATAATTCTTGTTTATTCTAATGAGCAATGCGTTGCCGTTGTCGTGGTAGTTTGTGTTTGTCTCTTCGATATCCATCTCGTTATGCGTAAAACTAGTTTGATTCGGTTTCTTTATTTCGGGGACTCCGATTGGGATCACCTTTTGCCCTTTTTGGATGGTTGGCCTTTCAAACAGCAGCATTTTCTCTGACTGCCATCTAATTGCAATTCGAGTGCTGGCCGCGATCGGAGCCAGAGTTAACTGCAACTGATGCCGTAGCTGTAATTGACAGAGACTTTGCTGGCCAGCTAATGACTATATTTAAGGCTGAGTTAATACAAAGCACCGCTGCTCAACGGGGCCAGAATTTGTCGCTACTTTGTGTATGTATGTGTATGTGCATGTGTGTGTGTTGTGTGCGTGCTATTAAATTGTTCTAAATACGTTTAGGTAACGGGAAAGTTGCTCTATGCCAGGCTTAAATAACAGCCACTCGATGCTTGTGTATGTGTGTGTGTTTTTGTGTGTAGCTCCGGTCGATTGGCCCGTCACTTTAATTCATTAGCATGTCTATATAAAAACAGCCAACTGCTCCAGAATTTATGCTAACAGTAAATGCCAGAACCCAGTGCAAAACAAAAGACTTGGGCAACAAACTTGATTTCGAGCATACATTTTAACAACATTGCCGCACTTACCACCAGTAAACGATAATCCATGTTGGCCAACTTTAATAGCCTTTTATTTAGTTGCCCAGCAAAACGAGACACACAAGAATTTTCCTTTTGTTTTTTGTTTTTGTCACTTTTCCAACTTTGTCGTGTTGCGCTACACAGAACTCGACGCGGCAAGTGCAGTAAATGAACTGAACCTCTGAATGCTCAACCAGCAGACATTGAACCTCTGATTTTGAACTTGGCCAACACGGTTAGCCGTGAGGAGAGAGTTTAGAGTGCCGACTCGACTAGCCGCAGAAAGTTGTAAAGAAAGCTTCGGCTCAGAGTTCTGCAGCAGCAACTCAAAGACAACTTTCGAGAGAGCCGCACAAGTGGCATACAGCAAGAGCTGTGGCATGCTTTTAGGAGCAAGTAGCATGAACATGTGGCATATACACAGGCAATCGATATAAAGCACCAGAAGATGCTTTTAGCAGTTACTGCCTTTAGGCCTCCTGCAAAGAGAAATGTATCTTCACTCCACAAAATTTCGTTGTTTCAATTTAGAGATTGGCAAATTTTATATCCAACAATTTCACGTTTATTCATGAATACAATGTACATTACACAATTCATCAATTAATAAACATGCTCCTAACATACAATAGTTGAATCATTCTCATTTATATATATGTATAT